AAATAAGTGTGAACAATATTATTTTTAGATTTTTGATTTGGGATAAGCACATTGAAGTTCTCAAATTCCGCTTACAAGGATGAGGTATATTCAGTTTTGACTTGTTGTCTTTGGCAGATATATGGGCTCAAAACACTTGTGAAAAGTTTCTTGCCTCGTCATGGTCAAGTTGTAAGGAAAATCGATGACTTGCTAAACATTTTGAAGAAAACACTAAAATCACAAGGACAGGATGGCATCAAATCATGGTATGTTCTTTTGGATAGCTATACAAATCAATCATGTTGTACAGGCTCTTAACACGAAGCCACAAGTTTTATGAGCTTTCACAATTCCATTATCAGTTTCTCTTGGTACAGTCTTGATCCTTGTTGACTTCTCATATGTTCGAAGGTGCTTATTTGCTCTTGAAATTTGTAGCGAGGACACAGGGGCTAATGTTAGACTGGCTGCTGCTAAAGCTGTTCTATTGCTTTCAAGGAAATGGGACCTTCATATTTCTCCTGAAATTTTCGGTCTAACCATTTTGATGGCAAAGGTTAAGGGACTTCCATCTTTCACAACAACCAAACAATTTAGCAAAGATTCTTGAATATTATCCTAATAATTTCAACTGCTTGTTTTTCAATTTGTCTTTGTTAAGTGATGGCAAGTCATGAGTCGACTGTTACAGTGGCTATGTACTGCATCCTGCATTTTTGTCACTTATGTCCTTGCAATTGCATATATGAAGTATCCAAAAGTAGCTCTAATTGTATAGGCTTGGGTGTATGGTAATTTATTTCTGAAGAAAAGGTGTTTATAGTAGTGTTAACCTTGTAAGGGCATTGAGGGCATTCTGGCTTTTAATTTATTCTTTGGTTTCATGTACTGGATATATGTGCTTAGAAAGTTGGATTTACTGGGTTTCATGATTGTCTTTTTGACCGTGTACCTTTGTCATCTGCCAGGATTCCAACGCCTTTGTCATATATGAAGTATCCAAAAGTAGCTCTAATTGTATAGGCTTGGGTGTATGGTAATTTATTTCTGAAGAAAAGGTGTTTATAGTAGTGTTAACCTTGTAAGGGCATTGAGGGCATTCTGGCTTTTAATTTATTCTTTGGTTTCATGTACTGGATATATGTGCTTAGAAAGTTGGATTTACCGGGTTTCATGATTGTCTTTTTGACCGTGTACCTTTGTCATCTGCCAGGATTCCAACGCCTTTATTACCAAGACTTTTCTCACCAAGTTGTACAAGCTATTGACGCAACATATGATACCCAGTAGATATGCATGTGCTTTTTCGTTTTCTTTGTCCAGTCCATGCAGAGATCTGCAAGATGATGTAACTTTCTCATACTCACTCTAAGAAGGAAATATTTCGGTTGTTTTAACCCTTTAGGTTCTCTGAGAATTTTCTTGTCTTTTTGTTCAGTCATTAAGATACATCAATGGATTCATCAACAATGCTACAAGAGAATCTCGGACATGTCGGGATTTAGATCAAGGAGAATCACTCACTGATAGTCCAGCTTACATGATAGTGTTCCTAATTCATGTTCTTGCACATGACCCAGAGTTCCCTTCAGAAGACTGCAGGGACGAGCATGTCTATGCTCGCTTTTGTGGGTAATTGTTATGTTCCTGTTATTGTTGGTGGTTGGTTTCATTTTGAATTTTTGTTCTCACTTATTTCCTTTGGCAGCCCTCTGTTCTCGGTCTTACAGGTGTTTCTTAGTATCAACAATAATGGTTTTACTATCAACGAAACCACCCCTTTCTTGTTCTGTATCTTCCGTGCAATTAAAAGAGCTGAGGATGCTGTTGATTCTCGTAAAACGCCAGTAAGTGTGGCGTGATAGCACTGAGTAACACATATGCTTCTTTCTCATTCATAGCTAAATATAATTATGCTTTGAATTGCAGAGGCTGCACATTCTAGCTAATATCGGTTACTCAGCTGTCAACATATTAAATAGTATTGTGGTCACTTCTCCACAAGCTCCACGGTCAATTTTGCTGCCATCATCGTTGTACAGCCTCACTAGCATAACGGATAACCAGGCAAGTCCTGCATTGTGTCAATATTGCTCACTTGTGACATTAACAAACATTTTACTTATAATTTCGTGAATGCACTCTTCTGCAGAATAAGGCTAAGTCTCGTACCCAAAATGCTTTGGAACAAAGTTTCATTGAAAGAGTAGTTCGTATATTCCAATCACAGATCTCCATGGTATATCCACACTGCAACATTTTACTATCCTTCCACTATCTTGCCTGCTTAACTTATGTTATGTAAGCTTTCTTTCTGATCCTGTTTCGGCCCACATGAACGCTTTCAAAGCATGATCAGAGGTGTCAAAAAGATAGCCTAGCAGTTGGTTCGCAAGACAAAGTTTTACCTCCATTATCGGGCAATCAAATCGAAACGTCAATTACTGGTTCAACCGAAGCCAGCAAAAACAACACGAGGTGTAGCAGGAAGCGAACTCATCTGGGAGAACATATTTCTTGTAACTCCTTATCTCTGAGAACAGTTGAGTCGGAAATTCCTATAAAGAAACTAGAAAGACACAATACTTGTTCAAAGGAGAGCGTCGAAGCAAGTTTAAGCAATAAAATTACATCTTCCAAACACTCCGGGGTAGTATCTGCTTTAAAGGTAAGTGCATTAGTATATGTTAGATCTTTATATAACTACCCATATCTTCCTGTGATACCAGTTAATAATTGTCACAGGATATCAGCAACCATGGCGAAGCAATCATTGGGAAGCGGATTAAATTACTCTCTCCCACAGATGGATGGTAGAGAATTTCTTATAGTCGACCAAATATATGCTGGAGCTTCTGTAATTTTTTGTGTGTTTTTCTTACCAGTTTCCATCCGGGCACTGTTGAGAAGTTTAATTCTAAAAGCAACTCTCACAAGGTATCCACTGAACTTTGAAGTCTTTATTCTGTCTTTTTGTTGATGACTCTTGATCCATTCGTCCCCATGAGTGTTGCCTTGATTCAGTAAGAAACTATTGATCAAATGCTATACTTATATTATAAATTTTTAGTGCGGAATATTTCTTCGCTGCAGATCCATGGCATATGATGAGATGATTAACAGGACTTATTGTCTTGTCATTTTATCTTCCTTTGTGCTAATTTCGGATGACATTGCATTCATGTAGACTGTGAACATGCTCTATTGAGTTCCTTTGGTTGAAACTCAATAGTATGAAGGCATCATTAGTATTTTTCTTTCAAATAACCATTTGATTCTATGTGCTGGTTATGGTCGAAGTTGGTCATATCGAACTCGAATAGCGTACATCTCTTCCTTTGCCCCCTTCTCTGCCGTTTTCCTGCTGCATTATATCCATGGCTTCTGCTTTGCTTTGTTGCAGATTATTTTTGACAATGGTGATGTTGAATTGGTTTGCTTGGATAGCGAGAGCTGGGAGACCCTGAGCCATGAATCCATGGGGCAACAGGTAAATGGAATGATTTATGTGTAATCCATGATTCAAGTGCTACCATCTTGGAACCCAAATGAACTCGACACCAGTATAATAGGTAACATCTCTGTTTGAATTTTCGTTATTCAGGAAATATTGGGAAAGGAGACGGAATCTTTTGGTTCTCGGAACTGGTAGGTTAAGATCAACCAACTTACTTTGAACTGCTGAATTTCTGGTTGCATTAGGCAACTTATATAAATTGATGGTTTTTTTGTTCCTTCCACTGGATATCATTGATTTGTTGTTGACGCTCATTTCCCATGTCATCTGTAATGATCTTGTGAAAATACTTTGCTTTCTGCAGCGTCACTGAAATCAGTCATACACTTGCAAAGGCTGATGCCCAAAAGCAGAAAACTAGAACAAAGCAGCAGAACAAAAAGTTGCCTGCCAAATTGAATCCTCCAGCTGGTAAATTGTTGCAGACTTAGTTCAGTTGTCGATTTGAGATATTTGGCTCTTTAGTGTCTGAGCCCGTCAGGTAGAAACACAAATACATGAGGCTTCCATTAACTATACCTATATTTCACAATGAATGATTGTCAATAGTATGGAGAAGATTTTCTTCTCATAAGTGGATAAAAATTTCAAATTTGTTGACATTTTGTTATATTTCAAATTTATCTCGATTGCTTTTGGATTTGAAATATAACCAAGAGTCCCATGTTTGATGATTTCAGCAAAATCAAGAAAAGGAAATTCGGGTTCTGGAGAAGGATCAGTTTCAGAAGTGACCGACACAAGTGACAATATTGTAAGCCTCCTCTGTTTTCAAAACTTGTTATAAGGGAAATCCTTGTTCTCTCTCTCTCTCCTAATAATATGCTAATATGACCAATGATTATAAATCTAATCAGAAATCAGACTGCTGTTTGATTAAAAGCTCTGATATTATTTCAGGGACTCAGAAGAAGTCGTAGACAGCGAACTTCTTAAGACCATGATCCGACGGAGGTCCTCCTAAATATGTTAATAATATAATTAACGAATCCTTAACTAGAGTTAAAAAGTGTTGATAACCCACACCGAAAAGAAAAATAATAACAGAGAAAAAGTAGTTCACTTTTTTTTGGTTTGCTCTACTACATAATCAATCAACCAGGTCAATTTAGTTTTCAAACTTGTCTAAACTCAACCAAAATCTTCCTAATTCCCCCTAAAATTTTCCTTAAGCTGGAAATTTTGTTCAAATTTGATGAGAAGACCATGTTATTAGGTTAAAATGCAGTTAGAATGGTTGTGAAATTAGGTGTGAAATTGACAAATAAGAGCGTTTTGTGCAATGAGATTTGGCGTACCAACAGGAAGAGGTTATTTGCATGGCCGTTGTCAGATTGATGACCTAACATTTAACACCATCCTACGGTCCATATCATCTGACTATCCCTCCACGTATTTATTTCTTCCTTCAATAATTTCAAAATAAGAAACTAATTTCGTTTCGTCTTTCCGCCTCCACAGTCCTCTCGACGTCTCCGCTAAAAGACCTTTATACCCTTCACTGTTCTCTCTGTCCTCCTCTCTATATTGGAGCCTCCCTCTCTCTCGACGACGTCTTCTCCAGTTCCGTTTTGCTTCGATCACGGTAAATTCCATTTTCCTCTCTTTCTTATGTTTCATGGAAGTTTTCTCTCCTTTTAAGGCCTTTTTCTCAGATCTTTTGATTGTTGAACTCATTTTTTTCCGCGGATCAAACGAAATGTAATACACTTAGTTCTCGAGAGAGTTCTACTTAACGAATGTGATTTACTTGAGTCTATTTCGTGTAGCTCTTCTCTGTAATATACAGCTATCGCCTGTATTAAAGTTGGTTTTAGTGAAATTGATTATGTTAATAATGCTGTGATGGGGTTTTGGTTGCAGGAGGTGGAGGTGTTGTATTAGCCATATAATTCTTTGTTTGGGGGGGTTTAGTGAAAGATGATTCCTTATGCAGCTGGTGTCATTGTGCCTTTGGCTTTAACGTTCTGGGTTCAGAAATCTAAGAAAGAAAAGAAAAGAGGTGTTGTTGTTGATGTTGGTGGTGAACCAGGTTATGCCATTAGGAATCACAGGTTTACTGATCCTGTTAGTTCCCATTGGGAACATATCTCAACTCTTCCAGAGCTCTTTGAGATTTCTTGTAATGCTCACAGCGATAGGGTTTTCCTTGGCACCCGGAAGCTGATCTCTAGAGAGATTGAGACTAGTGAGGATGGAAAAACATTTGAGAAACTTCATTTGGGTGACTACGAGTGGCTTACTTTTGGGAAGACACTCGAAGCTGTGTGTGATTTTGCCTCTGGGTTGGTTCAAATTGGACACAAGACGGAAGAACGTGTTGCCATTTTTGCAGATACTAGAGAAGAATGGTTCATTTCCCTACAGGTGATTTTCCATTTTTTATACCTTTTTCTGTTTTCTCTGCTTTAATCCGAATGGACCGTTGGTACGGTTATGAAATTTTCTGTGTGATTCAATGTTATAGGGTTGCTTCAGGCGAAACGTCACTGTGGTAACTATCTATTCATCTTTGGGAGAGGAAGCTCTTTGTCACTCTCTGAATGAGGTAGCCCTTGCTTATCTTCCCTGCTTTCTCTCTGTAGCTGTTTATATCCTAATTGTTTCTGGTGTATATACACATAGTACGGTATGATCTTCACATAGGGTGTAATGCGATTTATGTTATCCTGTGATTAAGTATTTCTTTTCATATGTTCATGATTCTCTTTCTTTCACTTTCCAGACAGAGGTCACAACCGTAATATGTGGTAACAAAGAACTCAAAAAGCTCATGGACATAGGACAGCAGCTTGAAACTGTGAAACGTGTGATATGCATGGATGATGAATTCCCATCTTATGTGAACAGTAATTGGATGGCGACTTCATTTACTGATGTTCAGAAACTTGGCCGCGAAACCCTGTGGACCCTAATTTTCCTCTCTCAGCAGACGTTGCTGTTATAATGTACACCAGTGGAAGCACTGGACTTCCCAAGGTTAGAAGGTTTTCGAAACCAGTTTACATGTACATCTGTTGTTTCAGAATAAGAATTTTGTCTATGGTTCTCAAAATTGTCATATCAGTTATTGGTAATTGGTTCTGCAAAAATTTACTCAAATCTGATTTTCCCATTTCCCAAATTGTGTAGGGTGTTATGATGACGCATGGTAATGTCCTAGCTACAGTTTCGGCAGTGATGACAATTGTTCCAGACCTTGGAAAGAGGGATATATACATGGCATATTTACCTTTGGCTCACATCCTTGAGTTAGCAGCTGAGGTATCTTAAAACTTTATTACTCAATGCGTTTCTATAGCACTTCCACTTTCAGAGAATTTGAATGCGGCCTAATATCACTGTTGTAGAGCGTAATGGCTACTATTGGGAGTGCTATTGGATATGGGTCTCCCTTGACGCTCACGGATACTTCAAACAAGATAAAAAAGGGTACAAAAGGAGATGTCACGGCACTAAAGCCCACCATAATGACAGCTGTTCCAGCCATTCTTGATCGTGTCCGGGATGGTGTCCGCAAAAAGGTTAGATACACGTCGAAATTCTTTGGCTGGCTATCCTCTGTTAAAGCAGTTGAGCTTTTGCTCTCCTAGTGGTTTAAATGATTACGGCTATCTCACAGCAACCAAGATGTGCTAAATTGTCATCATTCTCTTGTGAGTAAAACCTTATAATTGGATAAACACTGACAATTTATGACCATCAGGTTGATGCAAAGGGCGGATTGTCAAAGAAATTGTTTGACTTTGCATATGCTCGGCGATTATCTGCAATCAATGGAAGTTGGTTTGGAGCCTGGGGATTGGAAAAGCTTCTGTGGGACGTGCTTGTGTTCAGGAAAATCCGTGCAGTTTTGGGAGGTCAAATCCGCTACTTGCTCTCTGGTGGTGCCCCTCTTTCTGGTGACACTCAGAGATTCATTAACATATGCGTTGGGTAAAAGAATCCCTGAATATCTCCTTGAGGCTCGCTACTCTCCAATCTTAGGGTGGCGAATCTATGTTTTTGTTCCTTTGCCATTTCTATGATCTAATGCTGATATTCCTCAGGGCTCCAATCGGTCAGGGATATGGGCTCACAGAGACTTGTGCTGGTGGAACCTTCTCGGAGTTTGAGGACACATCCGTTGGCCGTGTTGGTGCGCCACTTCCTTGCTCCTTTGTTAAGGTAACCTCTTTACCTGATTTGTCCACTTTTAATACTTTGTTAGCTATATCTATTTATGGCTTATCAGTTTGTTTGTCGTGGTCTCTTTTGATCATATGCTTATATGTGTTTCAGCTAGTAGACTGGGCGGAAGGTGGGTATCTAACCAGTGATAAGCCCATGCCCCGTGGTGAAATTGTAATTGGTGGCTCAAATATCACGCTTGGGTATTTCAAAAATGAGGAGAAAACTAAAGAAGTGTACAAGGTGGCAAATTTACATTATTGGTTGCTGCAATGTTTAAAGCATTGGTTGGTTTGGTTCTTCCTCTAATCGTTTTATACACTTGAATGTTCAAAGGTTGATGAAAAGGGGATGAGGTGGTTCTACACAGGAGACATAGGACGATTTCACCCTGATGGCTGCCTCGAGATAATAGACCGAAAAAAGGATATCGTTAAACTTCAGCACGGAGAATATGTCTCCTTGGGCAAAGTATAGTCTGCTCAAATCGAATCCCCTTTTTTTTTCATCACTCAATTCTCCAGATAAGCTTACTAACACAGACTCCTTTTTTCGACAGGTTGAAGCTGCTCTCAGTATAAGTCCATATGTTGAAAACATAATGGTTCATGCTGATTCATTCTACAGTTACTGTGTGGCTCTTGTGGTCGCGTCCCAACATACAGTTGAAGGTTGGGCTTCAAAGCAAGGAATAGACTTTGCCAACTTCGAAGAGCTGTGCACGAAAGAACAAGCCGTGAAAGAAGTGTATGCGTCTCTTGTCAAGGTATGTTCATTGCTACCCATTACCGAGCGATTTGAGTCCCCAGTCAGATCCTTAAAATATATGTGTTATGCAGGCGGCTAAACAATCAAGATTGGAGAAGTTTGAGATACCAGCAAAGATCAAATTGTTGGCATCTCCCTGGACGCCAGAGTCGGGCTTAGTCACAGCAGCTCTAAAGCTGAAAAGAGATGTAATTAGGAGGGAATTCTCTGAAGAGCTCACCAAGTTATATGCCTAAACTTTTCTTCTTCCTCTACTTTGTTTTTAATTCCCAATGCATTCGAAAGACACAACAGATGCACAAACTTAATTCTAAGAATAGTTATCTCTTCTCTTTGATGTCTTTTCGTATAATTTGTGTGGGAACTGTGGCGAGACAGAAAAAAAGAAAGATATGGGTCTCAATAATCTTTAGGCTTTGGGACTATCAAGTCAAGTCTATGCAACGTAATGGGCCTTTATCAAACCAAGTAATAATTAGTTTGTCATTAAGCCAAATACAGATATACTTTTAGTTTAGTTGTTTTTGGGACTCGAGATAAACGACAAAGGGAAAGAGACTATTAATTGTTGTAATTTGGAGTGAAAATAAAGCTAATCTTACCAACTACTAACAATTAAGAAAAGATAAATTCAGAGTAGGAGGAGTTAATAAATTACTCAAGGTTGAAATTAGTGTATAAATTAAATTATTTTGTACTTAGAGTAGAGAAAGTCGAATGAGAGGAGGAGCAATCTCAACCGTTGGATAAATTGTGAATCTCACTGATTTTGTCAGTGAACCCAATGACCAGCGTCAGTGAGACGCGTGAGCTCTTCTTCTTCTTCTTTAATCACATTATTATTAAAACCGTTACAACTTCCTTAAATTCAAAAGCTGCTTTCTAAATTCGCAATTAATTATCCTAAATTATTGTCAATAATGTTATTCACGGGCGGGAATTGTTATCAAGTTAGGTTTTGAAACTCATATTAATGTCAGCAGTTTCAAATTAAGTAGTACGAAAATACGTTTTATTTCTTTATATACGAAAATTAAGTAGTACTAGTTATTCCTTAAAAAAAAGCTGAAACTTATGTTTTTTGAGTTCACAGCTCCACATACAGAGGATCACATGCTCTCTCTTTCTATCTTTTGAATTAAAGAAGAAATTTTGTTTTCAAATATTAAAAATAGCAAAGAACAAGATAAAGAGAATTCTCTCTCTCTCCCTCTCTAACTCTATCTCTGCCTTGTCGCTGTTAATAATCGTATTAGTGTTTCAGAGACAGTAGAAGAAGAAAGCTTCTTCCTTTTCTTTTGTTTAATCGCTGATTTTTTTTATCCATTGCGGCATTTTCGGATCTCAAAGTTCTTCATACAGTCCCCTACCAAAAGGTATTTATTTCACCAAAGATTTGGTCTCTTCCACAATATTCTCTTGCTTTGTTCGTTTTTTTTTAAATTTATCTCGTTAAATCACTTTGTGTTTCTGAAATGTTTGGAATCATTTTAGGACGAAGCTTGTTTTTGGAGTTTAGTTTGAGACCTTACTTAACACTGTTGCATTACTGTCCTAGTTATTTGTTTTACTTAGATTTGGGTTTTGGTAGATTTTAAACTAATTTTTTTCAGATTTTCCCTTTGTTTTTATGCCTCAAGATGCTTAATTTTGAATATGAAACAAGCAATGAGTTTCATCAAATTTTGTCTTGTAGCTTTCTCAACCGTTGGTTTTTGATTATGAAACGGACATCTGGAACCAACAAATGCACATTTGTTACTATAAAGACAAAATCAGTTTCTTTAAATCATTTCTAATACTTTGTGTTAGATGATTGGTTTATTCAAGATTTTCTCTTATCTTGCATGTTTGGTGATTGGTTGAGTTTTCTTCATCTTAAAGTTTGTTCTTCTTTGACTATGTTTAAGTAAGTTTCAGCATTTTTAAAGAATCCAATGTGTGTGTGTGTTTTCTCTCTCTTTCAGATCCTGAGACTGTTATGTTCTGATTCATTACTGTTGTGATCTTGGGAATCAGAAATGGAGAAACGGAAGAGAGAGTCATCTGAGAGAAGCTTTGGTGAATCAGAGTCTGTGTCTTCACTATCCCAGAAGGATTCTGAAATTCAAGTAAGATAAACAACACTACTTGGTTTTCTTTTTTTTGTTATTATGCAAGTCTTTTGTATCTAAAAGATCATTGTGATTACTGATTTTTTCTCAAGCCTGAGAGTACAATGGAGTCTCATGATGATGAGATACAATCACCAACGGTTTCTTTGGAAGTAGAAACTGAAAATGAAGATTTGAAAGATAGCATGAAGACTTTAACCGAGAAACTTTCAGCTGCTCTTGCTAATGTGAGTGCTAAAGATGATCTGGTGAAGCAACATGTCAAAGTCGCAGAAGAAGCTGTCGCTGGTATCAATCTTTTTTCTGCGTTTATTATTATGATTCTGCGAATTGTTAGTGAAGATATACTCTTGTTGTGAAGGGTGGGAGAAAGCTGAAAATGAAGTGGTTGAGTTGAAGGAGAAGCTTGAGGCTGCTGATGATAAGAATAGAGTGTTGGAAGATAGAGTAAGCCATCTCGATGGGGCTCTTAAGGAGTGTGTTAGACAGTTAAGGCAAGCAAGAGATGAACAAGAACAGAGAATTCAAGATGCTGTGATTGAGAGAACCCAGGAGTTGCAGTCTTCTAAAACCAGCCTTGAGAACCAGATTCTTGAAACTGCAACCAAGTCTGAGGAGCTTAGCCAAATGGCGGAATCTGTAGCGAAAGAAAACGTGATGCTTAGACACGAGCTTCTTGCGCGATGCGAAGAGCTAGAGATCAGAACGATTGAGAGGGATTTGAGCACTCAAGCAGCTGAAACCGCCAGCAAGCAGCAGTTAGATAGCATAAAGAAAGTGGCGAAACTTGAGGCTGAGTGCAGGAAGCTTCGGATGTTGGCTAAGTCATCAGCTTCGTTTAACGATCATCGATCAACAGATAGTCATTCTGATGGAGGGGAACGAATGGATGTGAGTTGCTCTGATTCATGGGCATCATCCACATTGATTGAAAAGAGAAGCCTTCAGGGAACTTCGTCTTCCATTGAACTTGATCTCATGGGTGATTTTCTTGAGATGGAACGTCTTGTAGCATTGCCTGAGACACCAGATGGGAACGGTAAGAGTGGACCTGAATCAGTTACAGAAGAGGCTGTTGTTCATTCAGAGAACTCGTTGGCTGCTGAAATAGAAGTATTGACTTCTCGAACTAAGGAGCTTGAAGAGAAGTTGAAAAAGTTAGAAGCTGAGAAACATGAGCTCGAAAAGGAAGTTAAATGTAACAGAGAAGAGGCTGTTGTTCATGTAGAGAACTCGTTGGCGGCTGAAATAGAAGTACTGACTTCTCGAACTAAGGAACTTGAAGAGAAGTTGGAAAAGTTAGAAGCGGAGAAAAATAAGCTCGAAAATGAATTTAAATGCAACAGAGAAGAGGTTGTTGTTCACGTAGAGAACTCGTTGGCTGCTGAAATAGAAGTTTTGACTTCTCGAACAATGGAACTTGAAGAACAGTTGTTGAAATTAGAAGCGGAGAAAGATGAGCTCGAAAGTGAAGTTAAATGTAACAGAGAAGAGGCTGTTGCTCACGTAGAGAACTCATTGGCTGCTGAAATAGAAGTATTGACTTGCCGAATTAAGCAACTTGAGGAAAAGTTATCGAAGTTGGAAGCAGAGAAAGATGAGCTCAAATGTGAAGTTAGATGTAACAGAGAAGTGGAGAGCACATTGAGATTTGAGCTCGAAGCTATTGCTTGTGATAAAATGGAGCTGGAAAATAAGTTGGAGAAGTTGGAGGTTGAGAAAGCTGAGCTGCAAATATCTTTTGACACAATCAAAGATAAGTATAAAGAATCTCAAGTTTGTTTGCAAGAAATTGAGACGAAGTTGGACCATATGGAGGTTGAGAAAGCTGAGCTGCAAATATCTTTTGACATAATCAAAGATAAACATCAAGAATCTCAAGTTTGTTTGCAAGAAATTGAGACGAAGTTGGAGGAGATACAAACGGAGATGAAATTGGCTAACGAACTAAAAGCAGAAGTAGAATCTCAAATCATTGCCATGGAAGCGGAGGCAATAACTAAATCCGCAAAGATTGAATCTTTGGAAGAAGACATGAGAAAGGAGAGGTTTGCCTTTGATGAGCTTAAGAGAAAATGTGAGGCTCTTGAAGAAGAGATCTCTCTCCATAAAGAGAACTCAATCAAGAGTGAAAATAAAGAACCCAAGATCAAACAGGTCTGTCTCCAAAATTCAGGTCTTAGTAAACTTAAGCTCTATGTTCCATCACAATCCTTTTTCTCCCACTAAAACCTGATCAATATATTGCAGGAGGACATAGAAACAGCTGCAGGGAAACTTGCGAATTGTCAGAAAACAATAGCTTCGTTGGGAAAACAGCTTCAATCTCTTGCAACACTTGAAGATTTCTTAACTGATACACCGAGTATTCCAATGGCTGCAAATGGTGTAAGCAGCAGCAGCAGCCTAGAGAGTTGGAAGGTTCACAAGAACGACACTTTCATGGCGAGAAATCATCCCGAGTCTATCAAACCAACTAAAGAAACATCTTCATCTCCTTCTTCCGCAGCTGCTGCTGTTTCAATGCCATCAACAAACCGAGGGAGTTCTGAGAAGAATCGCAATGGATTTGCAACAGTATTCACAAGAAGTAAAGACGGTATCCATCTAGCAATTTAGCATAACTTTGGCAGTAGGCAAAGAGACTATCTCTTAGGTTTAAAAGGATCGTTTTTAACAACACTTTGTTCCTTTTTCCAGATTTTGAATCCTTAGTAGTTTAAAAGATAATCTCTAGTGTATGCTGCAGGGATATTCCATAAAAGAAGTTTCTAATGTTTTCATCTTTAAACTTGTTTTAGCAAGTTTCTATGTGATGTTGTTATGAATCATAAGACTATAAAGAAGAGAAGCCACCATCATAAGTATGTAAGAGTAGGATCAAAGACTAGGGCATTAAAAGATAAATCTTGGACTTGAATCTACTTAAAGATAAATATACAGAATGGCAATAGATGAAACATAAAAGCAAAGACGAGATGATGTTTTATGGATCAAATTCGCAAGTGTTGCAAGAGACACTCTACTTGAACTCTAGCTTTCTTGGCTTTGGCTTTAGCAGCTCTCTTTGCTCTACGTTTAGCAGACAAAGATTCGACCGCCATATTCTTCAAACGCTCCGGTGAATCTCTGACAAAATCTTCATGTCCAAATTCCATAAGTCCAGGCATTCCTCTAACTCTTTGGAAGCCATGAGGCCGAAGCTTGGAGAAAAACCGCGAGAAGTTTATACCAAACTCTCTATAATTAGGCAGGATCGTTGTGCAAAACTCTCCAACATTCCAGATAGTGAAACTGTTGTTGCTTTCTTCGCTCCATGAGATGATTGCATCAGATGAAGGATCATCAACAACCTGATAAAGTTTGATGTAGAATGAAGATAATCCTCTTGGGAAATTGTAACCCATCCCTAAATACTCGCTTCCAATAAATCACATACTGATTTACCAAGGGTTGGGTCAGTATTTATACATGAGCTATAAAATCATTGACGGTCAAGATATGATCCTCAGCTAAAATTTCATCGGTCAGGATTAAAAGTTACAAAGTTTCCTTTTTCTTTTTCCTATTTCCTTTTTCCTATTTTGTTTCCTTTATTTTATCTCGAGTGATAAATATAATAACTTGTATAGAAAAAGCATCCGAGGTTCTATGGTGTAGTGGTTAGCACTCTGGACTTTGAATCCAGCGACCTGGGTTCGACTCCCGGTAGGACCTCTTTTCTTACGTTTTATTTTTTTAATTTTGGTTTCAAAATTAAACCCTATCACTCTCCCACTTCTCTCTTCTTGTTCCGTCGCCGAAAGCAGAGCAGCTGAGCTAAAAATCCCAAAAACCTTGAGAGAGAGCAGAGAACAATGAGCAAAATCGAGAGCTTTGATGATTTCGTGAAAGTACATGGAATACTATTGGCAGCTTCGGGTTTGCCGTCGAAACTTTACCCACGTCTCTTCCACAAACTTGCTTCCGATACTTTTGATGGCGGCGATTACTTCCAAATCGAATCCTCCGAGGATGATCGCCGGCGGAGGCTTCTCCTCACTTCCCAATCTATGCCTAAAGATTCTGACGTCTTCCTTGTTGATCACGCCTGGACTTTTCGTCTTCCCGATGCCTATAAGCAGGTAACGCCACTCTCACTCTTACACAGTTGTTCTGGAGTCTAATTCACTTCAATTTGTTTTTATTTTACTGTATTTTGGTTACTTCAGCTTAAGGAAATTCCGGGATTGGCTGAGAGGATGGCTTCTTTGATGAGTGTTGACATTGATGTGGAGGCTGAAGAAGAGGAAGTGGCAGAGGAACTCCCTGTTGATCAGATAATACACAATGAAATTCGTTATGCAGCAGATAAAGGATATGAATCTTTAAGATGGTTGGAGTTGGAGGGTCTTGGAATTGTTGATGACTCATTGCTCTCCCTGCATTTGCCTAGTCAATTTCAGGCATGTCTTTAGATCTTTCTTCCCTTCATTGCTCAGATGGTGAAGGTTTATTTCATATTTATATTAATATGTCGTAGACTAGCAGTGAGATGGATTCTTCAAATGTTTGATTCTAAAGCTTTTTTTTGTGCTGCTGCTATTTTTTGGGTAGGATTTAGTGGCGCTTAGTCTTATCTGGAATAAAATCGAGAGTGCGGATGTGGTTATACAAGAGGTTATCAAGTTTAAGAATCTGAAGGCTTTGTGGCTGAATGACAATCCTGTTCTTCATAAGAGGTAAACTTGCATTTACAAAACATATGGATGCGTGTGGTCGTGTGGATATATAATTGATTTCTCATGTATTTTTTATGATTATTTTCAGTGAACATCAGATGACTGACGAAATACTGCAAGGCTGTCCGAGTCTTGAAATCTACAACTCGTGTTTTACCCCTAATTATGGGTTATGGGCACTTGGTTTCTGTGGAGATATCTTTGGGAAGGATAATCCTGGTTGTGTTCAGCAGGATCACCCCTTGTGCAACGTCACCTCACTTGACCTTTCAAACCGGTCAATACACAATCTAGTCAATAAGGTCAGTTTCTTGACTGAAGAGGCTACAAGAATTGACGAACATATATGTTTCAATTTTGTATCTTATAGAACTTGCAAAATATATTTAAAGTGTTTAATTTATCCGCCTTTTCTTTCTTCATTTTCAGGCATTCTCTGTGCAAGAGATGCCATTACTGTCTCATTTAAATATCCGTGGAAACCCATTGGATCAGAATTCTGTTGGAGAACTACTTGAAGTCTTAAAGCTCTTCCCTTCACTGTCTTCCTTAGAAGTAATTGTTGGAAGTTGTCCTTACTTATTCAGATACAAATTGAGGTTACTCTACAATGTTAACTAAAATATATCTATGCAGAGATGTGCTCACGTGCTACTTCTTGTTTGTAGGTTGACATACCTGGACCGCTTGGAAACAATACTCTAGAGATTCTTGAATCGCTCTCAAACCTTTCTTTGTTAAATGGTGTTGATACAGCTATAATATTTGAAAATGGAAAGCATGTTATTGACTCAATGCTTCAACCACGCATTCCTGAGCCGAATCCTGAGGCTACTCTTGTTGACCGTGTTCTTGATGCAATGTGGTTGTATGCACTGAATTATCGCCTTGCGGATGAGGAAAAGCTTGATGAAACTTCTTTGTGGTATGCAATGTTTCTCTTTTTATTGCTATATTAGAATTAGTGCGGTGGATTTGTTTGACATAAGAAATAAAACTCACTGCGGTTTGTATTTACTATTTAAAGGATCATAACATTTTCCATGTAAATAGATAAATTAGAGAAATCCATGATGGAATTTAATGCAAGATTAGTTACCACTCTTTGTATATCTGAATGACCATTTTCACTTTTGAAATGTATTCTCACCCCTAACCCTAGCATTTGTTTCTCAAGCCTTCTTTGATTTGATTGGGAGAGGTCTATTTTTGTGTCCTTATATGTGCAAAAAAATTTCTATAGTATTGGGAATGAACATTTGATGCTAGTTTACTTCTTAAGAGGTAAGAACTAAGAAGGGGAATCAAAGAGTTTATGGATAATCTTGTCTGTAGTTCTTAGGCACAGAATTTTTGGATATGGATGACTGTGACTGTGAGTGGTGCAATGATAGCACTTTTTCGCAGGTATGTGATGGATGAATTGGGTTCAGCTTTGAGGCATAGCGATGAACCCAATTTCAAAGTGGCTCCATTCCTTTTCATGCCTTCTGGAAAACTAGAGTCTGCTGTGAGGTAAGCAATTTTTCAATTTTTCTTGCACTGCTCCACGTACTTTTTAAATGCAATTCTTTGTAATGTGGATTGACATGCGCTTCTTGATCAGGGCTCACATGTCATGTATGCAAATATTTTCTACAATGTTACTTTTTGTGTATCTGACATATGCTCATGTTTATTTGGTCTTATATGTTCCAGCTATTCGGTGATGTGGCCTATAAAAAATTCTCAAAAAGGTAATGAGTGCACTCGTGATTTTCTATCTGGTATTGGGGAGGACAAACAGCGATCTGCCAGGCTCACAGCCTGGTTTCAAACTCCTGAGAACTATTTTATTCATGTACTTCCTCGGTGTCCTCTTTAGCTTTCTGTTCATTAACAGACTTCCTGTTCTCATTTCCTACAAAGATTCTTGTTAATTAACAGATTCCCTGTTATTTATTTTCTAGGAATTTGAGAAATACCAACAAAAACTGCAGGCTAAAGCTTTCGAGTCATTACCTTCCAACCCTTCAGTTTCCCGAAGCATACAGCATAGTGATGGGTCTCCTTTACTGGTTTACACGGATCTACCTCAAGTTGAAGAATTTCTGACACGCCCAGAATTTGTGATCAGTATGTGATTTGATCCATTTTTCAATGATATATTCCTGGTTCTCATTTAGGATGGATATACTAAGCAATCGTACACATAAACAACGCGAATTTTAACTTACCACAACTGTCCCAGCTTTTTAATTATCTTCTGTTTTTAGATTGTGGAGTAAATTCAGTTTAACATTGGAAAAGCTGTTACATGCATAAATGCATTAGACGAATCAAGAATTTTCTTTATGTTTTCTGAGTTGTGTCACTTGCCTGCTTGCAGCAAATGAACCAAAAGATGCAGACATATTATGGACGAGTGTACAGGTGGATGAGGAGCTCAAAAAAGAGGTGGGAATAACAGATGACCAATACCTAAATCAGTTTCCCTTTGAGGCTTGTCTTGTTATGAAGCATCATCTTGCGGAGACTATTCAAATGGTAAATTCAGCAGATTACGCCCTTTGATTATCATAGCACCGTTAGTAATTTGTTTCTGAAATCCCTATGTTTTGCTTTACAGGGTTATGGATCTCCAAAATGGTTACAGCCTACTTATAATCTTGAAACACAATTGTCCCAGTTTATTGGGGACTATTGTGTCCGTAAACGTGATCAATTGAACAATTTGTGGATCTTGAAACCATGGAACATGGCACGGACAATCGACACAAGTATAACCGATAATTTATCTGCCATCATCCGCATGATGGAAACTGGTCCCAAGATCTGCCAGAAGTACATCGAGCACCCTGCTTTGTTCAAGGGGAAAAAGTTTGATCTGCGATACGTTGTCCTAGTTCGGAGTATTGACCCGCTGGAGATTTACCTAACAGAGATATTTTGGGTAATGATTACGTTTATTCTTCAGAGCAGCTAACATAAGCCATTATTTACTCATTTTGAATAAACAACAAATGTGCCATTCCTATTTGTTTGATTTCAGGTTAGGTTGTCGAACAGCCCATATTCATTGGAAAAGCACAGTTTCTTTGAATATGAAACTCACTTCACTGTCATGGTATTACTTAAGAACACTCTTTCCACATAATGATTCAGATAAAGATTGCAACATCCTATTTAGCAGCAACTCTCGTTTTCCTTTTTCATGTCATTCTCTTATGCGTTTCAGAACTATGGTGGTCGGAAATTGAATCACAAGCCCACGGCAGAGTTTGTGAAAGAATTTGAACAAGAACATAATGGTATACATTATACACTACATTTGGGTTTCCTTCCTCCATAAATATGTTTATCTTTGTGCATTTCAATTAATCAATAACACAATTCAACTCTCAATAGTTAAATGGATGGATATCCATGAGAAGGTGAAGCAAGTGATACGGGCAGTGTTTAAGGCGGCAGCTCTCACGCATCCAGAGATGCAATCCCCCAAATCTAGAGCAATGTACGGAGTAGATGTAATGCTAGATAGCTCCTTCGAGCCAAAAATTTTGGAGGTTCGTTACGAAAACTACCCGACATATACTTGTTTGCCTCATAACAAACTTTTGGAAATTGCAAGTTCTCTTATCCATGATTGTCTATGCAACACAGGTTACATACTGTCCTGATTGCATGCGGGCTTGCAAATACGACATGGAAACCATAGATGGAAAAGCTATTGTTAGAGGCGGAGATTTCTTCAATTATGTATTCGGGTGCCTCTTCTTAGACGAGACCGCGCACGTTACTCCCTTGTGAGCTCAATAGCCAGAGAGAAGATGGATGGTTTAGTTCCAAACTAGAATGTTTTATTTATAAACATGTCTTTTGTCAGTTATGCACCATGAGAATTTTGCTTTGTTAACTACATTGTGGAAAATTGAAGGTTCATGACTTTTGATCACTTCTCGAGGTGGAGTTCAAAAAAAACAAGTGGCAAAAAGTGAGAGTTCCTATTTCCTAAACAATAATCCCTCTTACCACTCGACTGCTTTTACTTCTCTTCGAATAAACCGGTCAAGAAGAAGAAAGTGACGGTACTTTTCTTTGACCAACTATAAGAGACTTCCAAAGCTCTGATGTTGGTCCGGTTTTTTGTAGTTTTGTTTTAGGCTCATCCTCTCAATATCACTGAAGCTTTGATGGCTCTAATTCATCGGCTTAGTTTCCGGAGGTTTCAATCATACCGGCTTGTGTTATGTATTTTGTGATATTCAATAAAATTCCTTCTTTACACGTTAAAAAGAAACACTCATGTCCTCTTGTTTTGCTAGCTTTGTATAACAATTTTTGTTAAAGAGTTTTTAAGATCAACAAAATGACATAAAAAACATAAATAGTAAAAAACTATATATTATTTGTATTTCGTAAAGTAAAAAGGATGAAGAAAGATCAATAAAATGACGTAATAATCCTAAGGCATGATTCCCCTTCACTCACTGACTTTAGTCACTTGTATAGAAAAATTATTGTCTAATTTGCACAAATCCGGCCCATTGTATTACAGAAGTATGACTTTTAAAGATCCACACTCAGGCCCATTAGAAGGCCCAAACACACAATGGGAAGGAAGAATCATAATCAGATTAAGAAACATTCCTTGGATTTCACAATTATTTACGGTTTTGACATAAATGACGAACACGGCGGCGACATCGGAGGCGAAGTTGGCGACCGAGCCACCGAAGATAGTGTGGAACGAGGGGAAACGGCGATTCGAGACGGAGGATCACGAAGCTTTCATAGAATACAAGATGAGAAACAACGGTAAAGTGATGGATCTGGTTCATACTTACGTTCCTTCCTCCAAACGAGGATTAGGTTTAGCTTCTCATCTCTGCGTCGCCGCTTTCGAACACGCCTCTTCTCATTCCATCTCCGTCATCCCTTCCTGCTCCTACGTTTCGGTACGAATTTTTAGTCGAATTTTTTTGATTTTGAAGTTGAATTCGTGACCTTTTGTGTGTGTGTGTGGATTTTGCAGGAAACGTTTCTTCCTCGAAACCCGTCATGGAAGCCTCTGGTTCATTCAGAGGTATTCAAGTCTAGTATCTGAATAACACTTCTTTCTCATTCTGCTCTGTAATAAATAAAGTAATGTCTCTAAAATTGTCTTATATGACTAACAATCGTTTGATGATTGTAAATTTGTAATCAAAATCAGAATGAGTGAATCTTATGAATCCTACTGCTTTTGATTACCTTCGAGCAATGTATCGAAATTGGGATCTACTAGCTCGTGCTTTTTGGTGTAATCAAATCAAGATTACAGTAAAAAACATTATAGAATTTGTTGTCGGACAATGAAAACAGAAGAATTAGCATAAGACGCAATGTTTCAATTACAAACACACTTTCATACTTATCACAATTATTATTACAATCTCTTAATAATACACTAAACAATCACCACAATATTGACAAAGAAAACTTAGCCTGTAATTTGACATGCATCAAAACCAATCATTGTTTTGGTTTTGTATGTTTCAAATCTTATTTGTGGAATTCGATAACAGAATATGAATAAGCAAGACATAAGGTTTCACATAGATCAAAGCCCGACGCAAACGCTAAATTCTCGAACTGCGAAAGAGATCGCTCTTTACCACCCGAGCATTGTGTTAACATCAACAAGTCCATGCCCAATACAGTGTTACATGAAAAGTCATTAGGCTTTGGTTCCATTGGTGTAATCATCTCTACAATGATCACTTTTCCTTTTTCAGGTAGACTTTTCCAACAATTTTTCAGAATCTTTATACAATGCTCATCCCCCCAATCATGTAGTATCCACTGTCAATTATATAACCATTTTATTTCGAAAATAATGGACTCAGTTTATAATTTATCTATTCAATTAAATTAGTAAACTTACTTTCATAAAGATAGCATCTCCCTTTGGAACTTCAATAAACATGTCTCCGGAGACATGCTTGACTCCTATCATTAGTATTAATCAAACCAAACAAAAGATTTAGGAGGTACATTAGTTAGTAATACTAGCACACCAAATATACTAAGTAGTTTTGTACCTGGACAAAAAGGAGCATGAGTTAAGACCTGAGCTAAGTCGAAATTAACACCTTTGATATGAGGATACTTGGAAGTGACTAGACCTAATATGGTTCCAATTCCTCCTCCAACATCCACCAAAGTGTTAACATCTTCAAATCCTCTGTATACTTCTAGAACTTTCTTCATAACCATTGTGGAAGATTCCGACATTGCGCGGTGAAACAACTCAGCGAACTGTTCATCCGAACTAATGTATTCGAAAAGTCTCATGTCGTGGGCAGAGCTGAATGCATCTTTTCCTTCTAATATCACATCCTTGAGATTTGCCCTATATATGGAGTTTTTTTCAAAAAAATCTTCAAATGTTCATTTACTCTAGTTCTATGTATATAACAGAACTATATTTTGTAAATCGGTTTGAACTTTGAATAGTGAAGCACTTACCAAGTTTTGAGAATGACTTGGCTATGGAGCAACAATAACAAAGACGAGAGAGAACCAGAGCCGTCACTATCTTTCAAGAAAAACTTGCAAATCGGTTCAGCTGCATATACCCTCTCGATCTTTCCGGTTTGACCATTTTCTCTAGTTTCAACCATACGGCACTTCAAGATCGAGTGGCTGACAAGTAATCGCAGCATCCGGTCCAGCAATACCGGCGCCTCCGGATTAGTGGGTTTGGTTGGGAGACTAACCGCTATCTCAGACGGTGAGAGCCACGTGCCGTTGCCAGTAGCAGCGATCGTATCAATGACTCCAAGCTCCAAGGCGGCTTTGAGAACCATGGGGAAAGCCACAGAGTTGACGATACTCTCCGCTTGCAAGCTCACCATTTTCTCCTCGATTTCTTGCTCTTCTTTGGTTAAAACCGGTTTTGGGTAAGTGGTTAAGGGCTCTTGAAGATGCTTTAACATAATTGTTGATATTGGTTAAAAGATTGAAGAAGATAGATAACAAAGGTAGAGTTGGTTTGAGGATGTGGTTTTAACTTTCACAGTTAGTGATGATGTTTTATAAGGAGAAATCCCAAGACAAGTGGACTGATTATGTCTAATACTAATTTATTTTCACGGAGATGGACAAAAAAGATGATGGTTCATGTAGATAGTTTGCGATTGTTCTTGTTGTTGTTGGTTTAATATAGATTACAAAGGCAGAGAAGATTGATTTCGAGATTCACACTTAATACTTTAGTGCCATGCACTGAGACGCGTGTAGTAACTCAAATACAAATTAAGAGTTTTTTTTTTGGGTAAACAAACAAATTATAAAGTTAATTAATGAAGATGCGTCAGACTTTCCATTTTTTCTTCTCATCGAAAAGGTTAATAAAAAAAATAGAAAATCGAAGCCAGATTTTTTTTTTCCTGAACGAATCGAAACCAGATTTTATTATAGTTTACTTTTGTCATATTGTCATTTACTCATGTTCAAATTAAAAAGAAAATGAGTTACAGATGAGAAAACAAAAAACAAAACCCTTAATTTTTCCGCTAATAGGTGATACTTTTCTTTTTGATCGATTCTATAAATCACCATGTAATATTTTGCTATTTTAAGCGTTTTTCACGTAATTTTTTTAATACGTTTCACTCATACGATATCGAATAAATCATCTATTTAAAAATTGCTCAAATTCAAACACGGTTAACTACTCTACAGTTTTGATATGATGTTTAATCGAAAAAAATAAGTACGCATTAAAAATATAAAAAGCCAAATCAAATTTATTAAATGCTCATCATGCACCACTATATTTCCAGAAGTTGGAGTGTTTTACTTTTACAGGTGTAGTCATATATTATGTCACATAATCTTAAAACATTAAAAATATCTAGAGAGATGAGAACATTGTTTGTTTTCATGTATGTTTATGTCTGTAAATTAAAAATTGTATTGTAGAGAATTTTTTTTTTTTTTGTACAAATAATATTTGACGAAGATAATTATTTCACTGATTACGCGTACTACAAATTTCAACAAAACGATCAACTATAGTCTTGTACAACATGCGATGTGATAGAAAAGAAGATAGTCCGTAACCAAATTTTGGTGACCTCTTAAGTATGCTTATTGTAGCGATAAACAAAAATTTAGTATGAACAACACTAGCTTTTATCAGGATATATTTCAAGGAAAATGTCACAATTAAAGGGAAAGTACTACAATTATAATTTTTTAAAAAATATTATCATAATAAAACTGACACTTTGTGGTTGACAAAAAAAAACTGACACTTAGGGATCCTTCCAAATTAATTATGTCATGTCATGGTATTTTTAGATTATTTCTTAAAAAAAATTGTGAAATTTATGTAAATCAAAACTAAAAAAATTTGTATGATAACTATTAAGGATACTATTAATAAATTTCAACAAAAAGGGATCATAATCTATATATATATAATTAGGGACTTCTCTCCATCTTTGGTGTCACATCATCATATTAACTAGGTTATTAACCCCCGCGTAGCGGGGGTTTGTTATTATCGATTAATTTAATATATTTTTGGTTTTATTATTATTTAAGTAGTTATACATTGACAATAGTAATACAAAATATTATAATATTTATTATTTATTATTTTTAACATTAACGTTCTTTATTTATATTCTTAGTACCATTTACGTTGTTTAAAACTTTTTTTAATAAGAAAAAGGTTTAGAGGATAAAATTTAGTATAAAATATATTACTAATATGATGTGTCATTATCTCTTACTTGTTTTATACTATTAACGATTTTGCTATTAGTAAAACAATTATAAAAATATTTTGACAATGACCCCATTCATCTAAAAACACCATTAGAACATCTCTTATACAAAAATGGCTCATCCCAAAACAGTAAGAAATCTTGCCATCATGTTTCAGCTACATATGAACTAAACGTTGGCATAAAGAGCTCATGTCATAACTGTTTTCTCACTTTTACATGTATACTCGATTTAAGATCCACATGTGTAGAAACTTTTCAAGCCAAAATCCTTAATGCTACAAAATTGACTAAGATAAAAAAAAAACAAATCTACTAATATATAACGAAAATGTAAACCAAAAGTATTCATGAAAGGAAAGGTAATGAGTTTTTCACATTTTCCTAAAGATGTTGTGTCAGAACTGTTTTTTCCTCCAATGTGTAGTTCACCACATACAACTCTATCTTTGGTGTGGATCATATGAGCCTTTTACGTTCTTTTTCTTCATTCACATTTTTCTTTTTCTTATATGCCTTCTCGTCATTCCACGGTCTTTCTTTCTCTTTGCTTCCACGTATCCTTCTTCTTCACTTTCTCTCTATTTTTCTTCTTCCTTTCACTTCCCTTCTCATTGAGATTTTTCTTCTTCTTCCCTTTTATCCTTTGATTAGGTGGAAACGTCGACGGAGATGATCAGAATGACGATGGCTTGGGTACACGATGGATATGACACGTCGACATTGGATTCACTTCTCTCTGGAAGCTTTCATGGCTATGGGTTTTCATCACGTATGCAACACATACAACTTAAAACGTAACGATAACTTTAGAAGGAATTAGTTAGGAATTTCAAAATTTAACAATATTTTATGTCATCACTACCATCATCATCTCCAGCATAATCACACCTTCGACGGCAAACGCAAATCAGATTACAAAGATGTGTCACTTCTATAATGGAGAAAAAAACCAATTTTTTGCAACAACGGTGATTCTGTTTCTCATTCTCCAGTCTTTTAGCATTAGGTTAAAGAGCATATTTATAAGAGATTGTTGCCGGCAATTACGAAACCGACTTCCTTATATTTATAGCAGTTTGTAACATAGGGTTTTACACGGTGTGTCCTAATCGGGCTAGAAAAAATTTCCGACAATAAGCCCACTAAATATACTTAGGTATCGTTTTTTTTTTATTTTCTGAACTGATTTTTTGAAAAAAAAAACGGAAAGAAACAAAAAAATTTTAAAAAAATTATATTAGGCAATTTCATTAAGTGTAGGCAAAAGAGTAATTTATAATTCTGAGAGCTAACATGAGCACTTTAGACTTCTATATTAGGCAATTTCATTAAGGGTTATTAATTGTGTTGCCAATTTTGGCGATGCTTTTTCTTTTGAGTTTTTAGCATATATCGATTTTTCCTTTTTTTTTTTTTGTTAAATTACCTTGAGAATTTATGTTAAACATCGACGTGGACCAATCACATCGCGTTTTTAAAATTTCATGTGGATGGCCTCAAAAGTTTTTAAAATCCAATTGGTCCCATAAAACGCTTTTGGATTTTCTTTTCATATAGGGGGTTTGATCGTTCTTTTTTTTTTTTGACATCGATCGTTCTTCTTCTTCCTTGTTTTTCTAAGATTTTCTTTAGCACCTATTCTTTTCTGTTTTTAATATTCATCTATGTACAATGTACTATATAAGATAGAGATTCAAAACTATTATGTGACCAATTGCCTTTATTTTAAAAGAACATATTTCTTTTTTTTCTTTAATATTAAATAATTTTTTAGTTTACTATCTGAAAAATATGAATGTTTGAAAAAAATAACTTTTTTAATTATTCATTATTAAAAAGTTAAGGAATAATTTCCTTATATAATAAATTCATTATTTTGAGTAGTTTTTATTATTTTGTTGCATTTTGGCAGATATCGACTTTTTTTTTTTTTTTTTTTTTTGTTAAGTTACCTTGAGCGTATATATCGATTTTTACTTTTTTGGTTTTTGCTAAGTTACCTTGAGAATTTATGTTAAAAATCGACGTGGACCAATAATATCGCGTTTTTAAAATCCTAGGTGGACGGCCTAAGGAGCTTATAGCCTCGACTTTTATATAGTATAGATTATCCAATAAAAGTAAACCATGTCATATTTTTATTTTTTTGATTTTTTCTAATAATTTCTTAAAACCAATTTATTATGAACAAGTTGATGATGATTTAAATGCACAAGAAGAGAAAAAAATTACAGTACATGCAAGTAAAGATAAATTATTATTATTAACACGTGGATGACTTTAATTATGGATTAATTATTACTCACTATGTCCCATATTATATGTTTTACACTTTTTTCTTGTTCCATTTTATTAAATTTTCTCAAATATCAATGCATAATTAATTAGGACTATTTCATTTTTTAAAATAAATTTTAAATAATACTTAATATTAGAATATCAAAATATTTACGGTTTCATAAACTTTGTGTTTATCTATAAAATCTTACCTGTCAAATCTATAATTTATTACTCTCAAATTGGCAATAAATTTTAAATAATACTTAATATTAGAATATCAAAATATTTACGGTTTCATAAACTTTGTGTTTATCTATAAAATCTTACCTGTCAAATCTATAATTTATTACTCTCAAATTGGCAATAAATTTTAAATAATACTTAATATTATAATATCAAAATATTTACGGTTTTATAAACTTTGTGTTTATCTATAAAATCTTACCTGTCAAATCTATAATTTATTACTCTCAAATTGGCAATTAATTATTTTGGTCAAATATAAAATTATTACCTTTTATATGACTAAGAATAAAAAATATCTTAGTGTGTGTTGTATGTATATATATATAAACAATGTTGATAAGAAAAAATATTCAGTACAAGATAAACACAAAAAATATAAGAAAAAATATAGACAATCATTTATTAATTTTGCGTCATGAAATCTGCTACTCAGTTTGTGGTTTTTTGTGTTCTCATGTTTTTCGTGATGCATAATGCTAAAGGTGAGATATATATATATATATTTAATTTTGATTGGTCACCTGCTTAATATGAAAACATTGACTGATGAAAAAATGATATGGATTTTTTTGTAATTTTTTGCATTATCAATTTTTTTTTTATCTAAGATGATTTATCCACCATCTAATAATTTTGTGGTTTATATAAAATAGTGGAAGCAAAAGACCGTCCACCTGTACTTGTTGAATTCATTCCGGGAAAACTATGTAATCCTATTCAGAGTCGGGGTGCTCAACAGTGCAAAGATGAAACTCGAGATCCTTACTATCCTCATTGCGTTTGTATAAATGTACAAGGTGGACATGATTGTTCATGTAATCATTCATAAGTTTCCTTTATATGTATGATTTAGTGAATCTTGAGAACTAAAATATATTTAATAAAAAATCTTTGATTTTGTGTCGTGGCTATGAAATATATTTTTGTACGCATATAATAAGCCCTCGAGAATAATACATACTTTGGTGAAATTTAACTCATAAAAGATAAAATTTAAAATACCTATAAAATATATTCGTCTTTTTCTTTTTACATATCTCACACACACATGTCGAGAGCAGAGCAATGTATTAATTTAAAAAACTAACCCATTTTTTAGCATTGAAGTTCCTATTATATGTGCTTTGTCGTATAATCTCTATTTCCAGAATTACTAATCTGCGGATGATTCGATTTGTTCCCTTAATAATCTTATTGTATCAATCAAAGCTTTAGGATTGTGATGAGTTTCGTATTTTTCTTTTGGGGTAATAATGTGGTATTCTGATCATGTCACAATTCAGGCTCATATAATGGAAAATAATGAAATGGAATGGATACATGTTTAGTTCTCTTTTATTTAATTACATAGCGAAAACAAAAGCAGGGATTTCTTAGTATTGTACAGAAAAAAAAATTTGATTATGGGACCGATTGGTAACGACTGTTACTTTTGGCTTTAAAGACTTTCGTTGTAAAGACTTTGGCTGTAGAGAGTTTTGCTGTTAGATATTTAACTGTAAAAATTTTATAGCGATTAGTAAAAACATGTGACTGTAGAAATTATGATTTTAAATAACTATCGAAAATATAGAGAAATGGATTTTAATAAAACAAGAAAAAAAATTCCATCGTAAATCAACTGAAATTTTTTTAAAATTAATTATTTAGGGAATTCTATGAGAGTTTTTATACTCATGGGGAAAAAGAAATAAAAAAAACTAGTATAAGCTTTTACTATTTTTATTTTAAAAGTTAGGAATACGTGACTTTAGAAAAAAAAAAAAAAACTGAAATTAAAGAATAAAAAAATGACTTTAAAAACTTTTAAATTAACTAAAACCAATAAAGTGTGATTGGGAAAATAATGACTTTAAGAGCATCTCCAAATGGGACTTCAAATTGAGGTTTGGCAAACCTCAAATTTGAGGTTTAGGGTTGTATATCTCCAAAAGAAAACCTCAAATTTAACTTCAAAAAAATCGTATTTTGCATAAGAGTCCTTGCTATTGATTATAATTACAAAAAACCATAAAACTTTTATAAATAACAATAAAACATACATTAAAAATATTACAAGCAATATTAGTTAATAAGATATTACATTATAAAGTAAAATTGCACAAAATAATAATAAAAAATACAAACGAAATCATAAACTAAAGCTAAATTACCAAATTAGTAAACCTAAGTATTTCCGTAATGTTCCCTTATATGATCAATCAATGAATTTCGAAAATATAGATGTGTCTTTTTATTTTATCTGTAGATTACAAGATAAAAAATTGTTGAAATCAGATATTTTTGTTTATTGCCATAAAAATTTAAGGACTAGTATGATAAAATAATAAATTAGTAAAAGTATTTATAAGATATAAATAATTGTGAGGACAAAATGTAAATAAAAAAATGAAACCTTAAAATTTGAGATTTTGAGGTTGCTTTTGGAAAACTAAAAACCTTATATTTGAGGATTTGAGGTCTCCTTTGGAGATGCTCTACACACTTTAAAATTTTCTTAAAGCCTCAAAATCTTTACCAATACTACCCCCTTATAAAACCAGTCTTTACCAATCACCCCTTGTAAAACCGTGACTCCATCAGTTACGATCGATTATTATAAAATATTTCAGGTGATTTAAATCCGGTCAACCAAACCACGTGAATCAGGATACCACTTTCTTCTAACCCACTCAGGAAAATATTTTATGGAAGCACTAACTTGTGATTGATCCTATAATCATTTAAAAGCGTCATACTAATATTAAATTTTAAAGTCTAATAATAACATTTTAAATCCAAAAATAGTGTGTGTGTTTTAATTGGATATATGTTGGAAAGACAGTATTAAGAATAACATTTTATTTTATTTTAAATAGTAGTACTAAAGCCAATGGTTTCATTCTTTTGCTTAGAGTAATTGGATATACTATTTAGACTCTTAACCCGACTGGTGAACCAATCAAATTAAAAATGGAGGATTCACTAAACGCTCACAAGGAGTTCAGTTTAGGAATTAATTTTTTCACACTGAACCATATCGAGTAGAGGTAGGTATTTCGGTTTATTTTCGGGTTCAGTTAATTCGATACAAAAGTTCTAGCCAAACTCAAACTAAAGTTAGTTTGGATCGGTTTAGTTTGGTATAGTTCGGTTCGACTTAGTTCAGTTCGGTTTCAGTTTAGATTGGTTTAGTTCGGTTTGGTTTACCATCGATTAGTCATATTTAATTTATATAAAGCTACAAAGTGTAATTGTATTGTTAAATTAAAAAAATCGGTACGGTGAAAACCAAGATAATTGTAAAAAAAAAAACTTGAATACAAAAGGAATTCTTGAATGATAATAAGTAAAATAGGGGAAATGAAATGAGATATGAAGATTTTTCTTTATAACATATAGAATAGTAGCTTAGAATTAGAGATTTTATGATGAAAGAACTAAATAAACTTAATTTCTATTAAATCAAAAAGAAATTCTAACATGGTTTAGTGTTACTATATTATTTAGTTAATTATAAATAAAAAAACAGTTTGGGTTACCAAACCGAACTATTCGGGTTTAACAAAAGCTTTAACTGAACGAATTGTAAGTAGACTTTGGTTTGGTTTGGATAGGTTTGAGTTTGGTTCGGTTCGATTAATTCAACCAACCATCCTTATGCTCAGAAGGCTGCATATATATTATACTCCCTCCGTATTTTAATAAGTGTCGTTTTAGGATTTTCTTTTTTAAAAAATTAGATGTCGTTTTCAAATTTCAATGCAAAATTTCTTACTTTTTAATGTTTTATGATGTCATAAAACATTAAAAAGTAATAAATTTTGCATAGAAATTTGAAAACGACATCCAATTCAAAAAAATAAAAATCCTAAAACGACAATTATTAAAATACGGAGGGAGTATACCCTTTCGGTCTTTCCACAGTGTCGATGACACGAAGCTCCAAGGCGTTTTTGAGAAGCGTTGAGTTCGCAATATGCTCTCTGCTTGCAAAGCTCGCTATTCTTTCGTCAACTTGTTGTTCTTCTTTGGTTAGAGCCGGTTTAGGGGAACAGGTTAATGGTTTGCCATTGTTTTAATCGTCGCTGGTAAATCTCATGGGTGGGTAAGCTTGGTGGATACAAATCCACCATGTGAAACACATGGCTGAAGTCCAAGGCCAGTTGGCCTACATGCAATAAAGTGAGCATTAAACTTAGGCTAACAATGTCCATATTCATTTTTCAAGATATATGCTGATTTAATACTCCGTATATTGCAAGTATGTATATCAACTCAATGTTTTAAAATCGACTGTTAAACCCGCGATCCAAACAATAACTACAAACCTAATGCAAAACACACTTTCATACTAAACAATCACAATCTTGATAAAAACAAAAGGACCAAGCCAGTACCATAAAACTATATTACATGCAATAAAAAACATTAACAAAAATAAAAAAAGCTCCTCATATTTTATTCATTTTACATATGAAAAGTAGAAGATTTGTAGCGCCCTTCATTTCAGATGTAACAAACCAATCATTGTTTCATTTTCGTAAATTCCAAATCTTATTTGTGGAATTCAATAACAGAATATGAATAGGCAAGACATATGATTTCACATCGAAGAAAACCTGACGCAAACGCCAAATTCTCGAACTGCGAAAGAGATCGCTCTTTACCACCGGAGCATTGTGTTAACATCAACAAGTCCATGGCAAAGACAGTGTTAGAGGATAAGTCACCACTCATTGGTTCCTTTGGTGTAACCAACTCTACAATGATAACTTTCCCTTTTTCAGGTAGACTTTTCCAACAATTCTTTAGAACCTTTATACAATGTTCGTCGGTCCAATCATGTAGTATCCACTGTCAATAATTTACCATTTTTAATAATAAACCATATTACCCAAAAAAATAATTAACTTTGGAGATATAAATTTATCTTTTCAAATATATTTATATAAACTTACTTTCATAAAGACAGCATCTCCCTTTGGAACTTCTATAAACATGTCTCCAGGTACATGCTCGACTCCTTTGATTTAAACAGGTACAAGAAATTAGGTTTAAGTGGTAGCTATTAAAACTAGCACTTCAATATATAAAACTTATCAAATATATTTAGTAGTTTTGTACCTGGATAAAAAGGAGCTCGGGTTAAAACTTGAGCTAAGTCGAAATTAACACCTTTGATATGAGGATACTTAGAAGTGACTAGACCTAAAACGGTGCCATTTCCTCCTCCAACATCCACCAAAGTATTTACATCTTCAAATCCTCTGTATACTTCTAGAACCTTCTTTATAATCATGGTAGAAGGTTCCGACATTGCACGATTAAACAACTCAGCGAATTGTTCATCCGAATTAATGTATTCGAAAATTTTCATGCCGTGGGCAGAGTTGAATGCATCTCTTCCTTCTAGTATCACATCTTTAAGATTTGTCCTGTACGTAAAGAAAATCTTCATTTATTCATTTATCATAGGTTTATAATACAGAAGATATTTTGTATGTTAGATTGTTAGGTTTATTTAGTTGGTTATTAACTGATTTAATGTCATTTGACTTATTATAAGAAATTTTGAAGTACGTACCAAGTCTTGAAAAACACTTCGGTATGGAGCAACATGAACAGAGACACGAGAGATCCCGAACCATCATTATCTCTCAAAAAATACTTGCAAACCGGTTCGGCTGCATATACCCTCTCGATCTTTCCGGTTCGACCGTTCTCTCCGGTTTCAATCATACGGCACTTCAAGATCGAGTGGCTGACAAGTAAGCGCAGCATCCGGTCCAGCAACACCGGCGCCTCCGGGTTGGTGGGTTTGGTTGGGAGACTACGCGCTATCTCATACGGTGAGAGCCACGTGTCGTTTCCTGCAGCAGCGATGGTATCGATGACGCCAAGCTCGAAGGCGGCTTTGAGAACCATAGGGAAGGCCACGGTGTTCACGATACTTTCAGCTTGCAAACTCACCATTTTCTCGTCGATTTCTTGTTCTTCTTTGGTTAAAACCGGTTTTGGGTAAGTGGTTAAGGAATCTTGAAGATGGTTTGTCATTATTGTTGATGGTTATAAGAAGGTAATGTGGTTTCAACATTCAGAGTTAGTACCATCTATATAGGGAAACCATCTGAAGCCAAGTGTATAGTGTTTTATTTTCCTTGGGGATTCGTGAAAAGATACATATGTCACAAGTTATGTTTGATTATTTTGAACACTTTAAATAGTCATAATATATGATTTTTCACATACACTGATCAGTAGGTCTTACATTCCATCCAAAATTTTCCGATGATTAGAAAAAATTATATACGTATCAACAGTGAAAACCATTCGTTCTATCAAATATGTTATACAAATGCTTAAATATAAATAAAATCATGTAGTATATTTAACTGGACCCACGAAACCACGTGAATCAGGCTATCACTTTATTGTTCCTCTGCTATTTTGAATTGGTGTAAAATGTAGTGCATAGTTGTTGTTTTATTTTCTTTTTCTTTTTTCTTAAATAAATTACTTATCATTAATTTGTTGGTATGTGTATTGCGATTATCATTAATCATGTCATATGATTCGGATTGAAGTTGCAGCTTACCTATAAAATTTTAATTAATACATGCATGGTATCCGATCAGTAGCGTCATACGAAATCTCGAAGGTTAATTAATTAGTTGAATATCTTTTGGTAAGGGAGAAACACTCAAACACAGTATATTCAAAAGTAACACTTAGGAACCTATTTTTTTCTTCTTAAATCTAGGAAATATTATTGGTTATAGACGCTCATAACAATAAGATAAATCCATTTGGTCAGAGAAGATGTTTTCGCTTAAAGTCATCAATTAAATGTAAAAGATCACTAAATAAGGATTATATGATACGATCAAAAAGATGGAATATTTCATAGATAATTTGGTGAGAGTAACAAACCTTTGAGCCTCGAAGCTCACTGCTTGTATACTGATCTTCGACTAAAATTTTTTCTTAATTACTGCAACGTTTCATATTTATCTACTATAGCTATAAATTTGATCACATTGTAGTATAAACTGTATGTTTTCGTATTTATCTATTTGCTATTTGTTTTGTTGATTCTATCTCGGAGATTGAGATTTGAGACTTTGGCTCTATCGGTGAACGAATAGAATCAAAAGGACGATAAACCTAACAGTCCACCAAAAACAATAGACGTACCAAACTAACCAACCCTATGGTCAAATCATAAAACAGATAAATGATTATTAGGTTTAACTTTTTATTAATGGGAGAGACTCTGGGTTCGAACAAGAGAGCAAAAAAGAAGAAACTGTAAATCTGTAAAAGAAAAAACCAAGATTCTGATGGATAGGGTGAAGAAGAGAAATGCTCCTACTCAAATTCCGAAAAACAAACTCATGAGACTTCTACAGCTCGTCCTTTGCGGCCGTTTCTTCAGTCTTCTTCGGTTCTTCAGTCTTGGTAGACTCTTCTCCATGAGAAGTTTGCTTCTTCTCACTGTTCTTCTCAACGAAGTTTATGAAGTCTTCCTTTGTCCTGTCTCCTTCATACACTACAACGTTTCCGCTCGCTGACCTGAAGTAAATGGTCGGGAATCCTTTCACGTCGAAGGTATCACTTGGGATATCATTTGCGGTTGCGTCCTGCACAGACACGGGCACGGTTAAGTCAATCCAGGAGTATATCAAGTGATTGTTTTACATGTAAACAATAAAAGAGAGGCTTACCAATTTTGCTATGATCACACTTGGGTCGTTCTGGAATGACAAAGCCACTTCGTCCAAGATTGGAGCAAGTTTTTGACAATGTCCACACCACGGTGCATAGAATTCAATCAAGACTGATGCACAAATTGATGTTTATCAGTCTTGGTTTTGCACAAAAATTGAAACGCTTATTAGAGTTTTCACATGTACTCACCATTCTTTCCAGACTTGAAAACTATGTCGTCAAGGCTCTCGGCAACAACAATCTTCACTGGTTCGTTGTTCTCAGCTGGAATAGGTTGAGATTTTTTGTGGGCGGCAACTTTTCCGTCCTGAAGAAAACATGTTCTTTGGTTAGGTTATATTGATTTTAGACATACTTCTTTTACATAAAGCTTGTGTGAATGTGTGCAAAAGAGAATGAAACCTGGAAGTCCTTGACCCATGATTCAATCTGGTCAACCTCAACGTTGGCTTTCAAATACTTCTTGTTATCTGGGGTCTGGATGATGATGAGGGGAACTTGGCTCTCTTCGAGTCCAAAGTACTGTTAAACCAAATACATGAAAAGAAAAAAGTTCTTAGAGATGTGTTAACCATTGGCAGGAGAAAATGATTATAAGAGCCAAACTTAAATAGTAACCTGGAAAGCGCCTTGGCTGCTCTCAGCATCACCAACAAGGAAGGCAAGACCTTGACCTTTGTTGGATGTAGCTACTTCACGGTACTTTGATTTTAGAGATTCAGCTGTTGCTCCGGTGAAGTTAACGAACATCATTGCCTGAATTTCAAAATATCACTACCCATCAAAACCAGAAAGTCATAGAAGACCGGAAAAAGAAAAAAAAACAGAACAGAACAAATGCTTTTACAATTATCAAGAGAATTATGTTATCACAGCTTTTGCTATAACCCAAATTCAATTAATATGTTATGTTATCACAGCTTTTGCTATAGTTAACACTACCGCCTGCAAAGAAAAGCTTTTAACCTTCAAGCACATATTAGTTACTAAACTACCATCTTCAAAAATCCATAAAATACTTGTCCAGTAAAAATGCGAGGCACAACTGAAACGTCCATTCATGTGTTGCAGCACTACAATGAGATCCAAAATAACTTAACTGAGAATTACCTTAGTGGCAGGGCTGTCAAAGAATTTGACAACATATGGGTGGTTGTTTGGATCACTGTCAAAGACGGTGACAAGTGGAATACTTGATTCTTTGACAAATTTCTCTAGAGCTTCCCCATTGAAGTCCTGAATCCATGATTCGAAAATAAAATAAATAATTTGCAACATCATTGCATAAAGCTTGACTACTCATTGATGTAATGTAAAAAGTGAAAAGGTTCCCCTTTACCTTGGAATCAACAAACAACTCATCAAAAGGCTTGAATAGCCTTACTACAGGTCCTTCCACAGACTCTCCACGAGGAAGAACCTTGGCATCCAAAGTGTGTGCGAAATCATAGTCAGCACGCAATTTCTCAGCAAGGGCCATGAAAGAATCAAACTCCTCGCCAGATAATTTAGGGAACACTCCAACCTAAAAGACAACAGAGATAGACATTAGTGGCTGCACTGATGAAAAAGAAACCAAGAAAAAAAAGATGCATTAGAGGCACTTACAGCAACAACATTCTTTTCACCAACAATCTCAGCGGCAGAATCAGCTGACTTAATTTCAACAGAAGCAGGACCACTTTGCTTCTTCAAATAAGTGACAATACCCTCAGCTTCACGAGGTCCGTTGTAATCTTGAACTGATTTCCCTCCATTTCTCAAAATCTTAAGAGTGGGGAAACCCTGAATCTTGTACTCATTAGCAAATCCTTTGTTTGCTTCCTGACTAGCGTCAATCTTGGCCAGAGCGAGAGGAGGGTTATGACTGCTCAACTCTGATGCAGCCTTCTCGTACTGTAGACAAAAACAAATACACACATCTTAGCTAAATAGATTGGTTTCACAAATCATAATTAGGTGATTTCAAAGCCAATTTCTTACCTCAGGAGCAAGCTTCTGGCAGTGACCACACCTGAAGCATTAACAAAACAAATCAGGTTACCTAATGAGACGGAGATAATTAAGCACATAGCCTTCACGCATCAATGTCCCAAATTATTGTACTAAACACTTAGAATCCAGATATTTCGAATAGACCGAATCACTAAAAATCAACAGTAATCACGATATAACTCTATGGCAACAGAGATCTCTCACGAATAAGAATTGAAGAAGACAAGAGTAATAATGGAGAAATTACCAAGGGGCGTAGAACTCGACGACGATGAAATCGTGCTTGGTGATGGTTTCCGTGAAGTTAGAGTGATCGAGAGTCAAGACAAATTCCTTCGTCTGCTCGCTTCTTATGGAGGAAGCGAACAGAGATAACAACAAAAGGATCGAAAAACACGCGAAACCCTTAAGCGCCATTATTATCGCTCTCTCGTCTCTTTCTCTCTGTGTAATAGAGAATATTCTTGTGTTCTTATTCTTCTTATCAGAGGAATGCACTGATCGAGATGATATTTATGAGCGCTTTCTTACACTGGAAATTTATGGAAATTACGAAATCGCTGGATGATTACTGGTCATACATACACGTGGCGAGTTTTCATTGGATAATACCTCGTCATTGGTTTTTTCATTAAACTTTTGGGCAAGTAATATTTTCCATTGACTCTTGACCCACAACGGTTATTGATATTTCAATATTTACTTCCATAATCAGCAGTGAAAGATCACAATTAGGAGAAATTCAATTATTAAATTTTCTCTTTTTTATATATTTTTAATAGCATTAGATTTTCTCATTTATATCCTGCTGAGTCAACATAAAAATTTAATATGTACAGTATTTAAGAAAAAAATTACTGACCAAGAAAATGTAATGGAGCCATGGTGGTTTGACTTTGATTACACTATACCATAGATCATGCCTAACCATAGCCTAACCATAGTCTCTTCTCTTTTGCCATTGTGAAGCCATGTGGCAACATAGCCCATATATGTACTCTTGTAATTTGTAAAAATGATTTTTAAGTTGTAGACTATTGAGGTTTAAGACTAAAAGTGTATCCCACTTTGTAATTGTACCTAAACTGATGATTTATTAAGTTGTGTGATAGTGAACAAAATGCACAAAACTACTAATTACGAATCCAAAACATGAGAAATCTTGATAGTTTTGTAGTTTATGCATTTTTCAACTTGTCAAGAGTTTGAAACCATTGCCTACAACATTGTGCATAGTTTGAAACCATTACCTTGGTTGTGAATTTGTGATTTTTCATTTCTAAATATCATATTTGTTTTTCAAGTAAAGTTATACAAAATATCACAGTAGATGATCATATGTAGTTTTCCTTTCCTTCTTTCAAAACTGATCCAATAGTTGACCAATTCATAATCAATCTTAGTTTGATTTCTAGCCATTAAAGATAACTCTATCATATATAGTCTCATAGATATAGATCATGCCTAACCATACTCTCTTATAATCTATTCTACATAACTTTATCCTATTTTCTTTTTGAAAATTCTCAATACTCTTGTAAATTTCAATATCCTAATGTATGCATTCTTGTAATCTCAACCAGGAACGATCATTTTACATTCTTTCTAATTCAACATAATTGTGAAATTTGATTTTTAAAAAACTAGATATTTTCATATTCACCATTTAAAAACGGCCTACAAAGCAAACTAACCAACCAATAAATGAATATGAACTTATCTATACAACAATTTTCTTCTCTATAAAACCTATATCTAATTTTTAAGTAACGAAACTTCAAAACGGTGCAAAAATGTGGTAACTCCACAATCTCTACTCAAGCCGAAGAAGTCTGAGGATGTTGAAGCCTAACAATTTCATGAGCTTTCACAACTTCTGATGTGAATTTTCTCAGTGCCCCGAAAATGGGAACTAAACCAGCTTTCAAGCTACTCGAAGACGCGTTGTTCACAAGCTTAATGGTTTCTTTACGCTTACCTCTTTCCTCTACTAGCTTCTTCCTCATTGAATCTAAATCCACTTTCAAATCATCCAAAGCCGATATCCCGCTCTCTGACCGACCTTTCGAAACCACACTTCTCTCTGACTCTGCATCTCGCTGCTCAAATTGCGCTCTTACTCTTTGCTCTTCTTCTTGTTTCTCCCATTGCTCGTGTAGGCTTGAAGCAAAACCTTGCATTACATTGGTCACATTCTCTCCAGATATTCTACACATTGCTTCTTGCCAATCTTTGCATATGATAAATATGGGCGGTGCACCGATCTGGCTAGGAGAGAAAGGAGCTATTCCGTCATCGGTTGCCTCGGGTTCATAGTGAAGGCATTTCGAGAGCCATCCGCTTAGGAACTGGACATATGATTTCTGGCTGTTGACCCAGTCGTTGAAGCTGCTGCACCATTCTCTAAGCTCTATCTCAAGATCAAGAATTGCTGTCGAGCCAGACTCTTTTTGTAAGTTTGAGTTCGCTTTCAGAGATCGAACCTTGCTCTCCATTATCGCATGAAACTGTTTCTGGTGGCACCTCAGCATTGACCTCCACATTCTTATCAACCTTCAAAACACAAACTATCAGTTTTTTTTTCTTACAGCTTAATCTTTAAATAAATGTCAAAATATAGAAAGATGATATATTTACCCGTGAATTAACTGTGTCAGTTGTGGCTGCAATTCTTCATCTCTAAGTTTATGGATTCTGCTGGAAATAGAATCAACAGATCTTATACAGACATCGATTTTGGTCAGAAGCTTCCTAATGGCTGCCCGAGTAGCATCGATCTTGATAGATTCTGCTCCATGACTATCCATTTTTTTTAGTCTCCTGCACTTCTCTTCATAGATGGCACGAAGCTTTTCTTCGTCCTGCCATCAAACGCAAATCACAATTTAACAGAACGCAAGAATCTGGATGTGCTATAAATTTCCATTAGAGATTCAGAAACACAAAGCTGCATCAAATATAAAAACAAACATTAATACCTTGACTTCTTTGTACAGTTTCTTTTCCCACGCATACAGTTTCTCCAAGGTTGATGAGAGGTTTCCATTGAAGCCTCCATTAACATCTTGTCCATTGTATGCTTTTGCCATTTTCCGTGTCCTAGATGTTAAACGGATTGATAGTCTGGGCGGAGAGCGCGATGACCGTGTGGATGGTGCTACCAGATACATGATCCTGGATAAGATAACTGAAAAGCAAAGCATTTCATTTAAAACTTCACTTAACAAAACAGCAAAAAAAAAAACCTTCATCTAAAAAGCAGTGTGCACATAATACATAATACACAGTTCATAGTTCAACACCAACCAAATCAGTCTAAACCACAATAATTTACCAACAAGAGATCAAGACGCATTCCCACTATATTGGAATTTAGAGTTTTCCAACATTAAGGTTCATAAGACAGGAAAAAGTCCTATTCAGTCAAGATAATTTCCCATTACATCAACGTTTCTGTAGTTCCCAGCTCGGTAAGTCTAACAATTCATCAAATAACCATTACTCTAAAGTTTATCAGCGATGATTTCAAAAAGGAACGAGCCATCATCTAAGAAAATCAGAATAGTAGACCAGCAAAACATGAGTTAAGAGACGGTACCTTTAACACCATTGTTTTTATGCTGATAAGGCAACTTGCCGACCTCAAGTAACAAAGCAACCTCCTTCCCACAAGAAGAAGCAACCTCGAACTCACTCTTGATCTCCTTGACAACTTCTCTGAGATCCCTAGTGGCATGGATCGACAAACTGGATAAGCTACTTATCTTGGAAGATTCAACATCAAAAGACGAAGTGCTCGTTGTTTCCTCCAACTCAAAGCTCACTCCTTTCTTCCTCCCATACTGTTCTTCTACTTCTCTCGAGCTCTTTGTCCCCGTCCCGTGACTGATTGAACTGATGCTGCTCTTTCCTTCACCACCATTAACATAGTGAAACTCCGATTCCACATCACTCCCTGAAAACGACGAAATTGTCTCTGAATCCAAGGAGCTCTCAGTGACTTGTTCTGGCATTGGCACTTCCCTCAAAGTTTCTTCTCTTTTGTTAATGTTCCTCTGAGGAAAAACGTTGTGCTTGTGCTCGTCTCTATGTTCTTTAACCTTCTCCAATCCTGTTCTCTTTGGACGTCTATACACTTGCTTGATAACTTCTTGCTCTGTTACTTCTTCCAGCTCAGGAATTCCTTCTCTTTCTCTAACTTCCTTGGAATCAGGACTGCTTGAGATTGACGCCATTCCCATCGGATAATATCCCGAAGCACGAGAACGGGCGTTGCTATAATCATAGGTATCAAACACATTCAAGAAATCCCAAGTTGAAACCGTAGGCGGTGACGGAGGAGGTAACGGAGACGGCGATCTCCGTTGCACTCCTGTGTTTCCAAATCCAGAATCGGACGACCATTGCGCATTCTCCACTCGATGATTCTCCGGTTGGAAGATGAACGGTCGTGATTGTGGCGCAGATTTCTTCATGAAATACATTCCTCGATTTGCGTATGGATTCTCACCACTGAAATTCGGGTAACCCGGTGGATATCCCGGCGGATAACCCTGTGAATAACCGGGTGGGTAACCGAGTGGATAACCGGGTGGGTAAACCGGTGGAGCATAGTTTGTTGGATAACCGGACGGAAATGTTTCCGTTGACCGTTCTGGTTCTGGACTGCTAGTAGTAATTTGGATATGATTCTTAGATCCAGCTTCTGATTCGGGTTCGGATTCGGATTCAGATCCGGAACTTAGATGCAAATGCGAATCATCAGTGTCTTCTTCTTCTTCGATGATGGAATGAGAAATCGAAGTGGTTGAAGAAGGAGAAATCCTCTTGTGTTTCTTCGGCTTTCCTTCGTCGGACGGAAGTGTAAGAACTGGAGAATCCGGCGAAGAAGAAGACGAAAAACCAGCTACGACTTCTTCGTCAACGAAACGTTGAATAGCTTCGCCGACGTCGGAGAGAGACTGGAAGTAAGTTAGGTGAGCGACGGCGAGAGCAGAGCGATGATACGACGCCGCTTTAATCAGTTCCTTCCGTTCTCTACAGAGAATCACAATTGGTTGATTATCTACTTTTGATCCTCCGCAACCCATAACGTCTTCGTCGGAAATCTAGACGTTTGTTTCAAATCTCATTCTGCTTCCACTCCGATCATCATCGGACATGGAAGGAACAGAGCAAAGTTTACCCTTTTTTTTTTAAGAAGAAACAGAGCAAAGTTTACTTTTTTGGGAAGGAACAGAGCAAAATTGTGATTTTTGAAGAATAATTTTTGTAATCATGTAAAAACGAGTTTTATATGAGAGTGACGGAGGAGAAAAAAGCAGAAGAATCCATGGTTGCTGATTTATATGAAAACGTGAAAACACGAATCAGAGGGGAGAGAGACTAAGTGAAAGAAAACAAAAAGGAAATTTCAAAGTCGTCATCTTTTTTTTTTCAAAGTCGTCGTCTTGCAATTAAATTTTCAACTTTTTTACTAAATTTAATGGATAAAGATGTGCAAAGAAAGCTAGGGGATCTGGGCAAAATATTAATTGCGAATTGAATTGGGGAAGAAGAAAGTGGCAGCGACGAGGAAAGAAAAAACTATATATGAAAAAGACACTTTTTTTTAATATCTGACATTCTTCAGTCTTCACAATTCACCGGGAGAGACTTGAGAAGAAGAAGACGTGTATTTGTCTTTTTCACAATTGACGCGGGAATTTAGTTTGTTTATACCATTTTTCCCCAATATTAATATTTGTTTAGTTTTGGTCCCTACCAATTCTGCCAGTATTTCTATTTTTGTGCACACAACAACCGTAAAAAGGTTCTCTTCTAACTTTCTTTCTCCTATTGAAAAACATCCAAAATAACCATTTTTGTAAAAAGTAATGAAACCAACTTCAGTAATATCCAAATGAAATATCTTCTCATGTTCAAATCAAATCCCATAATCGAGCTCATAGTGCAATGTCCCACATGTATTTGTAACAAATAATGCATCTATAAACATGATGAGACATTAAGACTATTGGATGAAAAAGTAGGACATGTGCTGCCAAAATCGAGCTCACATGCACTTCAAACGCCCAAATCCATAGCATGATTTATATCCTCTATATCAATATTCTAGTTACATGATTGCCATATACTATTAATGAAATTAATTTCGTTTCGTCATAAGAAAAAAAAACAGAGGAAATATGAACTCAATCATTGTATACAAAAGAAAAAGGAAGAAAAAGTTTCAAATATCGATTAGAACAATGGGATTGATTGAGTCTGACCAATCCCATCGGCTCATCGTAAGCATTCTTGCGTCACTAGAAGAAGAAAACATCATTTTCCATACCAACCAAATTCATACATCTTTCTAGATTCAGAATTTAATATTTTAAAGTTGGTTGTTGTAAAGTAAACATTGATTTTTCCCAACAACTAAATATTAGTCTTCATTAAAAATCTTGAGAAAAAAAGAGGATCGATCAAGCATAACTATGCACGTCTAATATGTCACACGTGGTGTTGAAAAAGTTCTCTAAATCTGTTCATGAAAAAAATAATCACCTTTGCTTGTATAGATATAGAAACAAGTGCGATGGTTAACCTAATCCAAGAGCTAAGACTTATCTTTTTTTAGTATCCAAAAAGAGAAGAATCTTTAATGAATCTCAAAAAAGATTAACTAACACCAACCAAACCTTATTTTAATGTTCGAATCTATTCGTGCAAAGGCGTAGTAGTAATTCACACACTTTATTCTGAAAAACTCACACTAATCTCAATATCTAAAACCATCAAATAAACAATGTTATTAAAGGTGATTTTACTCAAAGCAAACAATATCAATGATGTGTTTGTTTGCAAAGATATTTGATCACCACGTGATTATGTATATACGTAAGAGAAATCAAAATATACAATTTTTCTAATTTGTCAATTAGAAACCAGAGAAATCGGAGTTGTTATTACCACCAAAGAGAGTGGACAACAGGACCAAAACGCCAATGGCAATTATGATGTTGAGGAAGTAATTTGTGGGTAATGGCTTATCTGGACTTCCTCCAATTGCTTCATACTCTGCTCTTATCTTCTTTTTCATCGAATCCGAAAGCTCCTTCTGCAAAATATTACTGGAAAATTAAAAACAAGAATCGTTTCCTCAACATGTATTTATTAGAATAAGCTCAAGAAACACATTTTTGTTTAGTAAGGACAAACCTTTCCCGTGGAATACTTCGCAGCTACGAACTTCTCTGGAGCGTTGTCAATGATGATGCCCTGATTAGTTTTCAAGTGACACATGAGTAGTTTTATGGTTAAGTCACTGAACTAGATTTAAACGTATGGTTCATAATGGTTAAAAAAAGTGCCTAGAGATTAGATTTTCTCTTTGTCCTTGTACCTCGGGAGGATCAAATTTCGCGCCGAGATTGCTGAGCTTGGCATGAGCTTCAGCGTAATCCTTGAAAAATGCAGCCGGATCTTCAGCATACTTCTCCGCATAGTTCTGTAAAACAGAGTTTTTTTAAACATTTCCTCTTAATTAACAGTGAACTACTACTTCTGAGGCATCTTATTAGCAATCACTGTTGTTTAAACCTTGAATGAAGGATCTTCGAATAGCGCAGCATCAGTGGGTAACACCAGAAGATCTTCGTCCCTCTTTTCTTTGATATCCTGCAAAGTCATAGAAGTCAATGATTAAGAAAACTCTTCTTCAGTCCCAACCCAAGTTACTAAGAAAGATAGAGAGGTAGACCTTGAAGTAAGAATTGTCGAACTTAAGCCATTTCACTGTCCATGACTGTCCTCCTGCTTCTCCTGGTCCAGTTTTCTGCCATTTTGAACGTTTCCATAACATCTCTACACTATCATTTCAACAACGACATAAGGGAGTTCATTTTGTCGTTTATTATACCGTGTACTTTGTCTCAGGTTTTCCCCAACCGCTACGGTCTGGTCTGGCTCTTCCTAAGGTATGTGCACCAGACAAGGCAACTATTTCCTGCTTGACAAAACAACCTCGACTGTCAGAAAATGAGAATATTCACGTTTGACATGGAACAAAATCAAAATCACCTTGTCATCTAGTCCCATTCTGTAAAATACATCTCTTAAATGATCAGCTGGTGAGGGAGGTCCAGCATCTAAAACACAGCATATCTCACCTCGTTAACTTAATTAGTCCATAATAAAATATGAAACCAACTCATTGAAGCCATGAAACAGACAATGGAAAAGATTAGTTAACCAGGGAGTCTTCCTTCTTCTGGACACTGTTCAGGTGCTACGACATCAACTCTCCCATATTTCATCGGGATTTCAGGACCACCAGCCTCCTGAAGTTTAAGATCAGTAAAGTTTTTAGACCAACATAGTTTCCTGCTAGGCCAAACCCAACATAATTTCATCAGGATTTCAGAACCTCTACTGCAGTGGCACTAGCTAACTGGAATAAGTCCGCATAAGAGATGTTAGGATACTTGTCTTTGATAGGCTGAATGAGCTTTAAAGCATTAAGCAGACCTGAAAATGTCAAAAGTAGAATAATAAAGACCAAAAACAAAGTCTCAAGCCCACAAATGCAGGTGAATTGTGTTGGAAGCAGTACCAGCATTTGCAGCATGCTTAAGCTCAGCCTCAAACCTAAGACTTCCATTAGCTCCACCTCTCTGTGGCCACTCCTCAATGTTCTTGTTATATGTACCAGCATCGTGCCATCCCAATCTAACCTGCAATGAAACATGTAACTCTTGTCAAACACAAAGCAACATGACTCACAAAATTCAATTCTCTTCCTCCAATATCTTTAGTAACAATGCCATAGAATCGTGATCCAGCTGCAAAAGAAGAGAAAGATACATTACCAAAATGGGATGGCAAAACTTAGTCCGGAGAAGAACTTTGATATCTTCTTTAGCGCTTCTCAATTGAGCTGCATCAGAAGCTGCACATTTTGGTGAAACCATCCTCGTGCTCGTTCCATTGATCGGATCTTTTCTCTAAAATCAACAGAAAATGTTATGTTCAGAGAGAAATTTAGAAAAGTATGAATCTCGCAACTGAAGTATGAATACCTGAAGAACGAAGGAGGAGTGAGGAAACAGACAAGAAGATGCGACGCTTCGAAGAGAAGACAGAGAATGTGGCGATGAAGAGGACGAAAGAGCAACGACAGGGGACGAGGAGGAGGTGACGGCGGGTGAAAGAGAGACTCTGGTGGAGGAACAGAGTAAGTGAGAGGCGGCGGAGAGAGAAACAGCCATTGTCACGGTGGAGAGAAAGCGCCGGAAGAGATAAATGAAAAGACACGTGTCACTAATGCGTTGCCAGTTGGATCTATTTGGAGTCACCCACTCATAATTGGATAATGATTTCTATCAGCTGAACCTCACGCGCCTAACATCTGAATAGTTTAAGAGTTTATGGGCCGAATATATTGGGCCTTGTACAATGAAGTTCGTTCGGCCTTTTAATAAATCCTGGTTGGCGCGTGCTTTACACGCCAAGTGTAGTGAGCGTTGGGCGTTGAGCTTCGTTTAGCCAAATGCCAAGTTTCTCAATTTAGCTTACTGGAACTCAAAGAAACCTCTGCTGCAAGTTGCAAGAAATTGTTGTGTGAGAGAGAGAATCAGAGATATATACACACAAATAAATACTCACTCCTATTAGGAAGCAGCAATTTCTACAAAGAAAGGAGCCTCCTTTTTGTTGCCCTGTGTCAAAAAGAAACCTTTTTGGGATTTATTTGGTTTCGCTTTCTTGGGACCAAAAAAAGAGGAGATGAATCCGAAACAGGAGACAATAAACCTTCACTTCTTCTTCTTAGTCTTCGTCTTCTATGTGTTCGTCCTCTGTGCTCGCTTTCAACCCTCTGATGCTACTACTAAAGACTCGTCGGCTCAACAAGTGAAGTTACAGAATCGTCGACTTGGCTCATCCGTCGTGTTTCCTGTCTCTGGGAATGTGTATCCTCTCGGGTAACTGCCAAATTTCACATCTTTTTGTTTCAATTTCTCTGTTTCTTGCTACTTTCTTTGTGTTGACTCATGTCTGGATTTTGAATTGGTGCGGATACTTTGTGGCTCTGTGGGGATTCTTCACTTGTAATCTATTTCAAGAGAACTTTGATGTGAATTCTTCATTCTATTGATCTTTGTGAGATTTCAAAGCTTGATACTTTCACGAATTGAAGATTTTGGGCAATGTTGATTCTGATATTCCCTTGTATTGAAAACGCCCAATTTGATTGTTGAAGTAATCAACGAATTCATCTACTTCTTCTTTGCAGGTACTATTATGTGTTGCTTAACATAGGCAACCCACCTAAGCTCTTTGACTTGGACATTGACACTGGCAGTGACCTCACTTGGGTTCAGTGTGATGCACCTTGCAACGGTTGCACAAAGGTAAGCGTTGATATGCTTTAGTGTGTGACATAATAAGCAAAGGGTCTTTTCTATCTTAGAATTTCTTTATCTCTCTTTTCGCAGCCTCGTGCTAAGCAGTACAAGCCCAATCACAACACTTTGCCTTGTTCACACCTCTTGTGTTCTGACCTCGACCTTACCCAGAACAGACCTTGTGATGACCCTGAGGATCAATGTGACTATGAAATTGGATACTCCGATCATGCATCATCTATTGGCGCACTTGTAACTGATGAGTTTCCTCTAAAACTCGCAAATGGCTCCACTATGAATCCTCATTTGACATTTGGGTTAGCTTTCTTCTACCTTTTTTTTAACACATAAGAAAAGAAAACCACTAAATTCGTGGTTATACAAGTTCCTGATTTTGGAATCAATTTCTCTTTTAGATGTGGGTATGATCAGCAGAATCCTGGTCCACACCCTCCTCCTCCAACAGCGGGAATCCTTGGCCTTGGAAGAGGGAAAGTAGGCATCTCAACTCAGCTTAAGTCCTTGGGGATAACGAAGAATGTGATTGTGCATTGCTTAAGTCATACTGGTAAAGGCTTTCTCTCTATTGGAGATGAGCTTGTTCCTTCTTCTGGAGTTACATGGACTTCATTGGCTACAAATTCAGCTAGGTGAGCAATCTTTGAACATTATCTTCTTTATAACTGCCACTTGTTTACTCACACTTTTATAGTTGCCAGAAATTGAAACTCATGAAGCGACTTTTTTCTTAGTAAAAACTACATGACTGGACCAGCAGAGCTTCTCTTTAACGACAAGACCACAGGTGTCAAAGACATTGACGTAGTTTTCGATAGTGGAAGCTCGTACACTTACTTCAACGCTGAAGCATACCAAGCGATTCTTGATCTCGTATGGGACAATTTCTTTTCTGGAAGAAAAAAGATTGGCTTCACCGGTTGTGTTTTACCACTTTTTTATGACTAATTTGGTGTGCATTTATCTCTTACAGATAAGAAAAGACTTGAATGGGAAGCCTTTGACGGACACAAAAGATGATAAAAGCTTACCTGTCTGCTGGAAAGGCAAAAAACCTTTGAAGTCACTTGATGAGGTCAAGAAATACTTCAAGACTATTACTTTACGATTTGGGAATCAAAAGAATGGTCAGCCATTTCAGGTTCCACCTGAGTCGTATCTCATTATTACTGTAAGTCATGTATATACTGACTAGATATGACTTGTAGTATCTCCATAAAAATCCATGGCTAAGAGTCTGTTTCTTCTGATTGTTTTCTTAGGAAAAAGGAAATGTATGTTTGGGTATTCTGAACGGAACTGAAGTGGGGCTCGACAGCTACAATATCATTGGAGGTAAGTAAATAGAAATACTAAGTTTTCGATTATAGTTTTTTCTCGGGTTTCTTTTGTTCATAACTTGACAACACTATCTCGTGTCTATGTGTGTGATAGACATATCTTTCCAAGGGATAATGGTGATCTATGACAATGAGAAGCAGAGGATTGGATGGATTTCTTCAGACTGTGACAAACTTCCCAAGTGTGAACCTTTATTCACCTCTTTCTAATATATCATATGTATTGTTTTCTTCTGTTTCATCAAATCAATAATAAAATTTCTTTTTTCTTCTTGTCTTTTGTGTTTTGGCCTCTGAACTATTCTGTTAACAGTGTGAATCACGACGATGGAGGAGATCTGTCGGAGGAGGCTTATCCAAGAGGATTTGGTTTGATAAAAGAGCTTTTCTCAGGAAGTGATTCTTCTAAGAACAAGAACTTGGTCTCAGATGGAGAGCTTTGACACAGAGAAGAGTTTTTTCAGTGGTGTAGTAAAAGGATTTAGAGGTTTTTGGTTTTGTTGTTATCATAGAAACAAGGAAATATTTTGTGAATATATATATACCCCTTGTCTATTTCATCAGATGTAATCAATCCAAAAGAAAATAAGTTTTTTTGTTCTTCAAGAGCAAAAATGCAAGCAGATTCAGAAATTTTCACTTGTGCGAGTGTTTTTTTGTTGTGTGGAAATTTTTTTATGTAACCGGAAGCTTTTGACGAAAATAGCCCCAACACACTGGGGGTAAAATGGGACTTCCACGAAGGTAGAGAAAATGGCGGAAGGAAACCTTAAAAGCTAGAAAGACTAGAGGGTTTGGCGCCATCAGCGGGAGAGAGTGAAATTAGGGCTGAGCGAGATTGATTCTGAAGCAATTTCTTTTATGGCGGCGAAGATGACTGAGATAACGTCGGCGATGGACATTGACGTAGACGAAATTCAGCCTCGCAAGCCGATTAACAAGGGAAAAGACATCGCCGGATTTGGTGCTCCGCCGCAGAGTAAGGCGACGCCTTGGGTTGAGAAGTACCGACCTCAGTCGCTTGATGACGTCGCTGCACATCGTGACATTATTGATACGAGTAATTGAACTTCACACATACACTCTCTCCCTCTATTTCCATACCCTAGGGTTTTAGGGATTTAGTCTATTGAAGTATTTACAATTTTCTATATTTTTGGGTATTTTTCTAATTATGAAAGTATTTGAACGAGAAATTGTGTGCCTCTGATTATGCTTAGTGAATTGAAAGTGATGTTGTTTCTACAAAGTGAAAGTCTATTAAACTATCTTGTAACGAGGTTTATATTTGTCTATGCCAGTTTCTTCTCTTGGTTGGATTGAGAGGCTAATGCATGTTATAACCTCTTACCTATATGCTCACTGAAGGTTTTGTTGTTTTAAAAAAAAAACAGTTGATAGGCTGACCAATGAGAACAAATTGCCCCATCTTCTCTTGTATGGTCCTCCCGGTACAGGCAAAACATCCACCATTCTAGCCGTCGCCCGGAAACTATATGGACCCAAGTACCGTAATATGATTCTTGAACTGAACGCATCAGATGATAGAGGAATTGATGTTGTAAGGCAGCAGATTCAAGATTTCGCTAGCACACAGAGCTTCTCTTTGTGAGTATCCTATCATGATTCCTTCTTTCCTTATGATTTTCGTGTTTAATTTGTTTATCATTATAATAAGCATTTAGATACCTCAAAACTGGCTTTTATTACTCATAATATTGAATGCATTGTGATGGCATGAGCTATGTTTAACTGTAGCATCATGCTATGTATAATAGCATAACTTTGTGTGTAACAAGTTTGTTGTGGATATAAAAAATTAAAATTCATTTTTGTAGAGGAAAATCTTCGGTGAAGTTGGTTCTGCTAGATGAAGCAGATGCCATGACAAAAGATGCTCAGTTTGCCTTGCGTAGAGGTAAAACCTTATAGTGTTCCTAGCTCTCTCGGTTATTTTGCTTAAGCACGGTACTAACATCTTTGGCATGCTTATTTTCATAAATTTTGCAAGTTATTGAGAAATACACAAAGAGTACTAGGTTTGCGCTCATTGGAAACCATGTCAATAAGATCATCCCAGCTTTGCAGTCGAGATGTACTCGATTTAGATTTGCCCCTCTTGATCCTGTTCATGTGAGTCAACGTCTTAAACATGTAATAGAAGCTGAAGGGTGAGAATTCTAGCTATTTCGGTCTTGTAAACTTTCTTATTGTGTTTTCTTCATCCTCCCTCTTCATATGTGTTAGTCTTGAACCCTTTGTTTTGTGCTTCCTTTTTATAATTGGACTAGGCTTGGTGTTAGTGATTGTGGTTTGGCAGCTCTTGTACGGCTGAGCAATGGAGACATGAGAAAAGCATTGAACATTTTGCAGGTTCTGTAATATTTCGTTTTGGTTCTGTCTCTTGATCTACAATTGTAAATCTAAAAACAGTTCAATCACTATGAATGGATCTGTAAACATTTCTAACGGATTTATTGGTTGGGCAGTCAACGCATATGGCGTCAAAGGAAATTACAGAGAAAGAGTCAAAGAAAATTACAGAGGAAGAGGTTTACCTCTGCACCGGAAACCCATTGCCCAAGGACATTCAGCAGATATCTCACTGGCTTCTGAATAAACCATTTGATGAGTGCTACAAAAGTACTATATCATTTTCTGAGAGCTACAAAAGTATTGAACCATAACTGATATTTCCATGGTCCTGACTCCTGATTATTACTTCACCCTGCAGACATTTCAGAAATCAAGACGAGAAAAGGACTTGCCATTGTTGATATCGTCAGAGCGGTTACCATGTGAGTGACATACTTGGTTGCTGCTTCTACTGCTGTTTTATCCGTACGTCTGTAAACTGACTTTTGTTTCTCCATCAGGTTTGTTTTAAAAATCAAGATGCCTTCACATGTCAGAGTTCAACTGATAAACGATTTGGCAGACATTGAGTTAGTATCTTTTGCATTTTAAACTTAAATTCTGATTGCCTGGAGTAGAGTATTTAAGCTTGTGTTATCCACAATGTTTTCGTAATTTCGAGTCGTTTTACTGTTTATAGGTACAGATTGAGTTTGGGTGCAACGACAAACTGCAGCTTGGAGCTATCATTTCTACATTCACACATGCCCGGTCTATCATTGTTGATGCAGCAAAATAAACCATGTTTTTACCATTTTGGAACCCACAGTAGCTCGCCACCTAACAAAAGTCTCTGTACATTTTATGGCGTATGTGACCAAAGCCTTGCTTTTAAATTTCCTATGAAGAGTTTCAATGCCACCTTGTTATCCTCTCATCTTATTGCATTGAAATTCAGTTTCTTGATCAAAATATGTTTTAATGATCTTGTGGTCGTGTTTAACTATGAATGAACCCAGGCAAAATCAAGGTAAAATAACTTAAACATCGCTACAGGAATTAGAGCACTTCGTGCTGCTTAGTTGATCCCCGAGCGAAAAAAAGTTTCGTGAACAAACTGTCAATACCGAAGATCGCAGACCAAAAAAAGAAGAGAAACAACCTATACAATAAGACTTTCTTTCTTGCTAGGCAGGAACTCTTTGCTTCTACGTTCCTTTTCACACATCATACTCATTACCCATATACATGTATTGCTATACATCTGCTGCAGACTTTGCTTTCCTTCTTCTACTACCAAAATGCAGCCATTAGACAGATTAAGTCTTCCCTTGACTATGTGCAAAGTGCTTGTGAAGATTGAGTAGTTTGTTTTCTCAATGTGTCTCATCCGTTGTCCTATTGGACCATGCTATCTCAATGTCGAGTGATCTGGAAGAAGTATCTTTACTGTTTTCATGATTCAGGCTTAGAGATCCACTGTACTCTCCTTCTGTCACGACTTTGTCGATTTGGATAGTAACACGGCCTAGAGTCGTCTGCAGACAATGAATGTGTTGTGTGTTAGGGAAAAACCAAATTAAGACAATACATGTTGAAGATCTCTATCGAATCCCAACTCTGCAATTTGAACAGTGTGGCTCATTGTTACAATGTTACCTTTCCAAATGTGCTTTTGCTCTTGCATATGATGTGGAGCTTTGTCCTTTGGGGGGAACATCAAATGCCCAAGTAAAGCCTTCTTTCCATTCAGGAGTAGTGCTATTGCTCACGACCTAGAGAAAAAGAGACAAAAACCCCTATGATACAAAGACAAAGTTTTTGGCAATGGTGGGAGTGTAGAATATTCTCCTGGGATGGATTTGCTTACCTTAGTTTGCCGTGGAGGGCAGTTTCCTATTGTTAATTGACAAAAGGCGTTTGTGGTTGCCATGGACTGCTTTAAGTTATTGGCGCGCATGACGTTCACTGTTAAGCAACCTGGTAAGCAGTGCAATAAGCTGTCTGCCTTGTCGTGAAACCTAGGAGGGCATGTTTTCATCAGCATTTGCAGGACGGGAATTGCTTCAGCTGCAATCATGGCTTGAGATTTTGCAACATCTATGGACATATTCGTCCAGGAGTGCCTTAGCAAGTAAAGAATATCCAATACTAATCCCTGGACGTCTTCAACACCAGATTTGAGGGCCCCTACCAAATGAGGGATGCAGAAAGTAGCAGCTTCTGAGGCACGGAGCTTAGGAAAATTGGAGAAAATCACATTTAAGGTTCTCAAAACTTCGATATTTATAGTTGCTGTAGACCACAAGCCTCTCTCAAGTGCAGCTGTTCACAAACATGATAGGTCAAACAGTTGAAGATAAGAACAAAAATTTATCAGAATATAAAAGTTTAGTGCTAGAGTGACAGGGACATAGGATTAGTAAAACTTAAATGAAAAAGTACCTGTTAGTGATCTTATAAGCTCATTCGAGACATATTCTTGGAGTGTGTGGTTGGGAAAACAAAAATTGACCATCAGTGCAGCCTGCCCAGAAACTTCTTGCATTGCAAGAAAGCAGTAGCTCCTGAATTAACAATACGCCACCAGCCTCTGCAACAGCTCGTCTATTCGTTCTACTATTCATCACAAAATTCTGCAATGCACAGATGGCCACCACTTTCATTTCTTCTGTTGGTGTTCTTCTAGCACGCTAATGAGTGCCCGACAAGCGGAAACAGAACCACTGGATCTAGAAAGCCCTTCATGCTGAGAAAGATCCCCAAGTGCCAGAGCAGCAAGAAGCCTACCAGGTTCTGATCTTGTCTGAGGGTCCAACAGATATTGAGATAGTGGTGCTATTGCATATTTGCATAGCTTCAACTCTCTACTCTCGGATTGTTAAATATTACTTCAAGTAAGCTTCCCGATTCTTCCTCGCATTGATGAGATCTAAGGAGGTCCAGCAATGCATCGATTGCCGCCAAGCTCAGCCATTTGCCACTGTGCTTGAAGCATCGTTCTTCTCATGAAGCATCAATGCTTTAAGAGCCAGTAACACAGTGCCTTCAATTGTCGAGAACAATAATTTTACCAACACTGGCAGTTCAACTCTGAAAAAGCATTTCTGCATCATACTGCACAATGTTGGAAAGAACAAAAGCAGCAGACTCCCATAGATCAAGAGGGGGCTGAGGATCTTCCTGAAGAATAACCTTGGATAGCTCAAAAATACCTCCAGCATCAAGAACAGCCTTAGGCCAGCTAGCAGATATCTTCTCCAATGCCTTTATCGCAGTTTCCTGCAGGCTCAGTATTCCAATTCCTGCAAGACGAACCAGAGGAACAACAGCACTCTGTGTTGTGATGTCTTGCTGGAAATCTTCCATTGTAAGAAAATGGCTCAGCAATTCTGCTCCAAGCTGCTGGATAGCTTGGGATGAAGATTCTAAAAAGGGAAATCAGCGGCACGATGGCTTCACTGGGTGTAAACTAAAAGCTTCAAGGCTTTGCTGTTTTTTCCAATCTGTTAACAAGTGCTTGCAGGGCACTATGTTGCCCCCATAAGGTCAAGTCTGACCGGAGCAAGACCGTGAATAGAGGCTCTACAGTTTTTGCAACATCTGGTCTTCTCGCAATTACTCCACTATTTGTTAAAATTCGAAACAGCTCTGCAACAGCGGAACATAACGAACTTGAGGCTCCAGGTAGTAGCTCAAGACATCGCTCGATTATTCCAGCTTCCACCATGTCCACTTGCGTGGTACTCTGTCTTTCCCCAACTTAATGAGAGCTGATAAGCTAGCCTCAATAATAACATAATTTCTCCCGGAAACCAAGCCGACAAGAAGCTCCAGAATGTTATGTGCGGCGGCTAGTTCTAAATGTTGCTCGTCATCCAATAATATCTTAATAGCACAAACTGCGCTTCAACTGCTGCACTTCTTTCAGACTGCATAAGTGTTATTAAAGGCTTCACGCATCTGGAGGCGGATTGGACTTGTTCTGATGTTTTTATTCGAGGAGAAACAACAGAAACAAAGTGTGGCAGCATTTATCTTTAACTCGTCTGAAGCAGAAGCAGATGATAAGATTTTGATCACGTTTTCCAGCAGACTTCCTTCCACATCAATCAGAAGAGCTGTATTTGGAGTATTTTCTGAGCTTAGCTGATCAATGCAGAGAGAGCTACCTCTTGCTCACTTTCTGATACAGTACCGAGTATGTCCATTAGTGGTTGAACAGCCTGGCAGGCGATTTCAGAATTTTCTGATGTTTCAGCATCAAATAGTTCATTTAGAGCCCCAGCTGCGCTGTATCTTGCACTTCTGAACCTAGCCGCAGTACTGCGATAAGCTGACTTCACGGAACTAGTGCCAATTTCGTTTTGTCTAAGCTCGTGGTTGCTAAACAATATCCTAAGCAATTCAGATATGGCGTACTCAGTTGAATCTGAGACTTAGAGAAAGGTACTTTGTAAAGCTTCAACAGCTCCAGCTTCAGCCATTAGTAATTTATTTGTGTCACTTCCATCTGCAATGCGAATCAGGATTTGGACAGCAAACTGAGGGGCTCCAGGCCTATCTGGAATTGGCCTTAAGAGATCTACAAGCAGCGGGATAGATTTGCGTGCAGTGCAGCCAAGCCTCACATCTTCAATTTCAAAAAGGTGTTGAAGAATAACTTGATCAGGCTCTTTCACCAGAGAAAATTCATTTGCCAAAGCATCTAAGTTCAGTATCTCCGATTCCAAATAGCCAACAAGGTTTATTATCCCAGAAACAGCACCTGAGTTTGCAATTGTCAGATTTATTCCTCTGTTCCTAGTACAAACAAGACTAGCCATTGCGTGGGCAGCGAAATATCGATCTATCAGTTCATCAGATCCTAGCAAAACTGCAAGTGTTGGAATGATCCGCATCGTCGTTGAAGAAAAGGACACATTGTCATCCTGGAACATGATAGCCAGGAGGAGAGCACTAATCCAAATGCCTTCTGTATCCTCAAATTCAGCCTGGAAAAATAGTTTAGCTCAAGATTACTTTCAAGAGGGGAAATTCATCCTACAAGGCATCTCTGCCACAAAAAAGTAAGAATCAAGTCAAGCCTACGAGAAATTGAGAGCAGTGTGATTCAAAACCAAAATGCACAGTACATGCTTGACAAATCTGTAACAATATAAGAAGTGGGATTTACTGTAACAGAACCTCTTAACTAATAGAAGTTCCTAAAGGCCAAACCCCGCCCCGCAAAGTTGTAAAACTCAACTCAGAAGTTGGCTAATTTATTTCATTCCCAACGAAGGTACCCTGTAGGAGTATACTGTCTTATTTATTTCTGACAAGATATCTGCAATTTTTTGTGGCAGAGATGCCTTGTATGATGAATTTTTTGATGAAGCATATACCTAGCTCGGCCATAACCAATAAACATGAGCAAGCATATAACTTTTGATGTCCGAGAAAGAAACATTTACCTGAGGACTGGAAGTATACCTAGCAAGCTTCCCCAAGAGCACCTCAAGTCCGCCAGCTTCCATAACAATGACCTTTGACTTAGCATCAACGGAAGTGAGTATGCATAGCAGCCACAATGCGACTGTACCACCCAAGATTTTAGCTGGATCAGGAAAATAAAAACTGCCTGTATCCTGGAAAACATTTTTTTCCAAAAAACCTTTAGGTGTCTGGACTTCAGTCTCTAGAGAAAAGCATGTAGAATTGTGCTTTATCATATCAATGAGGGCATGTAACAAGAGTTTTGAAAAACCAGACTGATCAAGTGTCTCTGTGATAAGCTGCTTCTTTTCCTTTGCAGCACATAAGAGCAGCGCCGTCCCCCCAACTCTCACTTCTAAGCTGGATGCATTCACTATTCTATCAGCCAGAACCCCCATTGACTTGGGTCTTGAAACTATAAGTTCACTGAGCAGAAACTGTTGATCAGAGCAAAGCCTGGACAAAACTTCTATTGCCTTATCTTGCACAAGAGTATGGCCTTCGGTAAGGCATTGCACAAGGGTCTCCAGGCTTGAAGGCACTTCGGCAAGGGCAATCCATGGAGGGTAAGAGAAATTCACCCCACTCTTAGTCTTTACCAAGAGCGCAACTACTTCTAATATGTTGAAAGCATCTGGGCTATCCACAGCAATTGATTTTAGAGAATCAACGAGTGAAAGTATAGCAAAACGGCACTGAGCACTTCCTTTTAGCACATCACAAACTGGAAAGTTCTTAAGTAACTGATGAAGTGCCCGTGATGCATTTCTCTTACCCTCTGGAGATCCATCAGCCAAAATTCTTGTGAAAGCTGAAACAACATCTTCAGCTAGTGCTTCTGCAGCTATATCCGGATCAGACAGAAGATTTGCGAGGGCAGAAACAGCATTTTCTGCAGACTCAATGGAAGAGTTCTTAGCCAATGTTATGAGTGACTTAATATCTCCTTCTGCAATGTAAGACTTCTTTTTATTATTATTTTTCTTAACCGGGCGGGACAGTGCGTCCAAAGCCCTAGCCACCTGTTTGGCCACATTCTGAGTGTTGTTTGTAAGCAGCTTGATCCAGGGATGAATAATGTCATCCGTCGCAAGATGACCACAGATATCTTGTCTTGAGCTGAACAGATCAGCTAAAACTGAAGCTGTATGCTCCTTTGTTTCTTCCCTGGAAGATGTTAGGGACTCGACAAGGGACCTCAGTCCTTTGTTAGCGGCACATCCTCTATGAACAAGATCCTCCTGTGAAGCTTTTGAGAGCACATGACCCAATACTTTTATTACATGAATCTTTGAAGTCGTATCATCTCCCAGAAGTAAAGCCAACAACTGATTAATTGTGGCAGGATCAGCTGTATGGACAAGCTTCACAAGTGTCTTTGCAGATGTTTCCTGTGAATTTGGTCCACCAGTCTTCAGAAGCCACAAGAATGCTGGAATACCACCAGCTCTTTCAACACAATCACGGATTTCCTCACTGTGACAACACAAATTCCAGAGAATGCAGGCAGCATCTTCCTTGGCCTTCTGAGATCCAGTCTCGAGCAACTGGACAAGTGGAGGAATCCCCCCAGCTGCTGTTACAGCCCATTTACTATCATCCACCTGAGCCGTCAAAATTTTCAACATTTCAACAGCATACTCTTGGTGTTGCTCACTAGACAAACCTAGAAATGATATAAATAACTGGATTCCTTCTCTCTTTCCAATCGCCTCCCAAATTCCAACCTTGTCATGGCATAAGCCAGACAAGCAAATTATCAGACGCTCTCGTACATCAGCAGAAGCCATGGTTATGAGAGCAATAAGAACTCTCTTAGCTTCTGCATCATCTAGGTAACATGAAAGACTACTGTTTCCGTACAAGCTCGCCATAGCCTCTAAGATCCGTTCTTGGATTAACTTGGTGTCACGAGGCTTTAGTAACTTTACCAAAATGCTCTCTATCACGCTTGGATCAAATATGTTCTCCGAACTCTCTGGTTGTTTGAAAATCATTAGAGCATAGGCAAGGGCTCCAATTACATCACCAATTGGTTCCGTTAGACGAGGGGATTGTGATACTTCTCCAAGATATATAATCAAATGGCGCATCCCACCAAACACATTTGCCAAAGCTCCAGTTGCATGTTCTTGTAGAGATTGTCCATGTTTTCCCTGCATACACTCTTTCGATGGAGCAACAATGGCTTCAATGAGAGCATGAACACCTCCTGCATCTTTGACACATTTCTTAGCCTCATCGGATTTTGATGAAAGAGCTTCCAAAGCATCTGCTGCACTAGCACGAACATTGATATCATTTTTCTGTTCCAAAAGCTGTATCAGAGACTTGACAACTCCAGAATTTAATATTTTCTGGATGCTATCACAAAAGGAAATAACTAGACGAGCCAGCAGAGAAGCAGCATTTGCCTGAGAATTAGGGTTATCAGATGACAAAAGAGACACGACTATGTCTACCACTACCCTCTAGTGTCAGTCTCCAATAACCATCATCAACGCCACAAAGATTCCTCAAAGCTCCAGTAACATACCCTTCAACAACTTTATCCTGATTTCCTTTCAGGCTAAGTTGATCCCACAAAGTTGGCACAACACCTTCTGTGATAAATATTTTCATGCCAATGTGGTCACTGGAAATTCCAGCAGAAGAAACCTCATATATAGCTTCTGCCGCTGCTTTCCTAGTTTCAATGGTTCCAGACTTCAAAACCGAAAGTAATGGCGGGATGCATCCTCCTAGAAGAACTTTTAGTCGCAATTCTTTGTCTTTGCATAAAACACAAAGGATTGAAGCGACATTTACTTTGGCCAAACTCGTCCCATTTCTAAGCATGGAAATGAATAAAGGCATTGCTTGACCATACGAACCGATCAGCCTTCTTGCCTCCCTTTTGCCTTTTGCAATACCTAGTAGACGAGCTGTTGTGAGTTCTTTGTCTTGCGGAGAAGATGTTTTCGCATGAAGTTGCTCTATGAGCTGAGCAACTGTAGCCATTGCCTTCTCTGGGTCGTCCATTTCCATTTTTGCATCGACTTTCCTGCACATTTTAGGCAATGATTTCCATTTTTATTTCTCAGGACAACAGAAAGGATGGGTAAATAATGAAAAACGACAGGAGGTGAGCAAAAAATGTTGAAAATTTTCAGTAACCTTAACCAAAGAAAATTTTGAGCAATATCAAAACTTGTAGTTTCTAAACAAAGTGAAAGTTGGTTGGCCAAGATATGGTGAACTTGCTACATTTTTCTATAAATACTTATCAAAAATAGAAAGTGCCTACCCAGACTGCAAAGAAGATGATGTTTCCTCCTGCGTTCCAGGAAGGAAAGCCTTCAACATCTGCATAAGCACTTGCTTTTAGCTTCAGCCTTTGGTTTCCTAGAAGAAACCATTGGTAAGTAAGTTCAAAACCGCAATCACAGCAATTAACTAATCTTACCAAACATTCAAACTATCTTTGCACCTACACTGGACGAAGTGAAACTACTACTCTAAAATGGCCAAAAAAAGAAACCTCACATCTTCTGAATCAATTCTATCTATCCCCAACTATGTCAAATTTCTTCATTCTCAATACAACGCATCCAATGATAAACGACCTTTAACTACATTTAAATGCTACAATCGCAGGATTAGAATCCAAACACCCAACAGAAGAAAATTACACACCTAGTAGAAGGTGCAGAAGAAACCAACGAAATCACTCTCTCCGCCTCGCTTTTAACTCAAAATCCGCATCACCGTAAAATCACCAAACGGCGCCGGGGATAAAAGTTCCGAGTCAGAATCCATCTCTCCGTCAAAGTAACACCACCAAAACACTAACCTGCTTCTGGAAATTCAAAAGAAGAAACAGAATTTCCAGAATCAGCGACCATGGATCACAGAATCCTAGGGCAAATAAAAAAAAAAACAAAGAAGGATTCGTAGTTTCGTTGGATCAATTGGAGAATAGCAATAATAATAGTAGGAAATAGGAGAAATAGTACACGAGCATTGCGATTTTGAAAGAAGAGGAAGCTCCCAGGAAAATCACCTTTTTCTCGTTTGTCGTTGTCGAAATCAAAAATGGTGAATTAGCCTCTCCAATGACGAAGAAGAACGTACAAGAGCAGAGAAAAGAGAAGAGAAGAGATCAGTCCCTTTATTTATTTTTTACTTTTATTTTACTTTTTTTTTACTTTCTTTAATTACCATTTTTTTTACTTTCCTTAATTACCATTTTTTTAATCTTATTACATTGCCCATAATAGTAATCCAATTTCTCTCATCAAAAGCTTGTATTATAAACTACATTTGAGTGCCATAATATCAAATTCATATTTTTTCCACATATGATTTTTTTTATTTTTGACGTCAGTTGAAAAAGTATTTATATGATTGAAAATTTTGGTTTGTTGAATTTTCTACGGCAACCATAATAATGGAGTGAGTGAGATTTTTGGGTAGAATTCTAAATTACCGTACCATATAAAGTCTTCCAATCTAAACAATAGGATTATGGTTAGTTTTTATAAACACATAAATTTTAGACTTTTTAATGTCAACTTTGTCTGGGTCTCCAGTTTGTTGAGCTTATCAGATCTTATTCAATTTTTGAGATTCATTTTTTCTGTATTATCAATTTGATGAACAATACTACTCCGGACTCTGTTCGTTCAGTTTTGTTAGAAGATATTGTTGGAACTTCGCGTCCTAAAGACGTTCGTTTGTAGTTCATATCTCTTATTTTTTAATAAATGGAGGGACAATGTCTACCCCTTCCTACCAAAAAAAAAAAGTTCGAATTGTACTCAAAGTATTGGAGGATGGAAATGCCAAAACCGGTAAAAAATAAATAAAACTAAACCTTAAATACGTCTGCTCAATTTTGTTAAACTATGATATGTTTGAAGATTGAACGATTCTTATATAAGTATTCACATATACATATATCGGTTAATTAGAGAGAAATCACTAATTTGGTTGTGACTAAAGCGAGTTTAAACACAACATTATGCATGTGGATAACAGATTTACACTGTTTAGAATATTTTCTATGATTAGAATTTCCTGATTTAGTAGAAACAAAATAAATAAATAAGAAGTTGGATATGATTTTTAAACTGTTTTAATGCTATTGGAAACATGAATAATAAATTAGTATAAAGTGTAAAGAAAGATTGGTTGTAAATTGAAAGGGAAGGTTGTAAGAGCAACAACAAACAGACCTAACATGGATTTGAAACCCCACACTTCCTAGTGAGACTGACTGTCTTCATTTTTTCCAGTTAGCAACAAATATGTCTGGTCCCCTTCTTTTATACCATGCCATCCAAGCTTTTAATTTTGATTTCACTTCACTTTTTTAATGATTAAGATATAGACTAGAGAACCCATATACTTCTCACACGTTTCTTAATTAACATGTAACAAATAGCAATCTTATGAAAACATGAGAATTGCGCAGTTTAAACAAGACGACCATATAGAAAAATAGCATGTTATAGGAAATAATCATCTCATAACAATTAGATGAAGGATAGATAATTCATTTGAAATAGTATTTATGTCGTCTTCTACTCAAAGCTATTTCTATTTAATGACATGTGATATGAAACTTGTAAAGGAAATAAATAAAAGAAACATCATTAGTTCAATTTCATGAGCTATAAAATCATGAGACATTGAAGAGTTAAAACTTTTGTGAATTCATAATGCATCAATTTTATTTTATTTCTCTTGTAGAAGATAGTTAGATCAGTTTTATAAGGAACTTTACGAAATTTCAGTCGTCGTTTTCGTTAGATAGTGATGTATTTGACTTGACCTCCGATTTAACCTAAACAATTCAAACCGGTTAAACTAATCACGTCTCGGTTTTTATTAGGAAAGATAAACTCGTGTCAAAATCAAATAAATATACAAAAGACAAAACAAATTAATTAGAATTAAAGCGAACAATGAGATTTGTTTGAATGCAAGTTGCAACGATAAGACTGGTATCTGTCAGACCCTACCATTACCGACACTTTTCCGATACCATGCAGTCAGTGAAATCGGATCTCGAGCTTCCCTCCCTAATAATCCCAACACTAGTATCTTCCTATATAGTATATATTTTTAGTTTGTATTTTAGTTAATATTTTTTACTATTATATAACAAAGCAAGATTGTAGTTTAGAGTCGAAACGCGAAAAGATCATTCAAAGAATATATAATAGATTTAAAATGAATTTATAAATTTTCTTATTCCAGAACAGTTGATGATATTGCTTTGTGGATACACACACTAGCCCGTCTTAATAGAGGAGAAGAAAGCCAAGGCCCAATTGTTGCTCCAAAGCCCAACCTGGTCACTTCCCTTCTGGATCAGCTAGGCAGGTTTCAAACCGGCACGTGCGACGGCAGACAGGACAGTGATAGTTTCACGTGACAGCTCAGAAAGTTCTCTGCCTAACCACAAGTGGATCCAAAGTCGACCCATCTGCTTCCCGCACAATAGCCGTGAGACAATCTCGTTATCGGCGATGGCATCCACGTAATTAAACGGAAAATCCAGGGCATTACTCAACCGACCGTTGCTACACGTGAGTTCCGGTGACACCGCTTGTTCCGAGCCGGCGATCAATCTCGCCACAGATTCCGGTGGACACGTGTCATTCACAGCCCTTATCTCGTTCTCGCTCCGTTGCTTCTCGATGACACCTTTCTTGTTATATATACGACACAGTACCCAATCATCCAACTGTTCAAGAATATCAAAAACACTTCCGGTTAACTAAACCCGGTTCAATATCATATTAAAATTTCGGTTTGGAAACGAATACATCACTCACCCTTAGACTGTTTTTCTTGCGAACCGACCGGTCCACGTCAGCGAGCCGGTATTCGTGCATAATCCAATTGGTTTTCTCTCCATTTGGAGGTTTTCCAGAGTAAAACACTAGAGCCTTCTTAATACCGACCGGTTTAGGACGACCGATCGGTTTATCAGCTCCGGTAGCTTTCCAATAGCCAGTACCAGCAGCCCTGTTAGGTCTTGAACCGTTTGGATACTTTCGATCTCTTGGTGAGAAAAATACCACTCCTTTTCACCGTACAAAGCCATGTCTGTAAATTGAAATTCGGTTTGTTCATTCTTAAACCGGTTATTGTATAGTGTGAGTTAAAGGGAAAAAAAGAAAATAACGTACCGGGAAGGTCCCAAGGATCATATCTGTACAAATCGAGTTCGGTGATGATCGGAGCAGGGATCGGCTGCGACGCACATTTACGACAGAGATACATAAGGACGAGCTCTTCATCCGTCGGATGAAATCTAAATCCAGGTGGGAATTGCAAATCAGCCCCAGATTTCATCAATTAACCTATTTTCCCCTTTAATGTTGTTACTTGTTTATAGCAAGAAAGAACTAGAAAGATGTTTGAAACTTCTCAAGCAAAGAAGAGAGATGGCTTATATAAGAAGAAGAGATTGGACACGTGGCAGCTAGACAGGGGTTTTGTGTTGGTGGAAAGGAATCTCAAACAAAAATAGAAAAAATGGTTAAATTTGTATAGTGGAGGATTCATTGTAGTAGATGGACAGGGACACGTGGCAGGCTGTAATGTATGTAAGTTTTGTCATTGCTTACGTCAGACTATTTGGAATGTAGCGGTCCGAGAGCATGTCGATTTTGGGAAAGAGTGATAAGAATCGACACGTTCGATCTCACGCGTGTACTTTCCTAAAGGAGACCAAACGTTGACCGTATCTCAAAATTATTTCTCTCATTGATTTCAAGGCTGTGTTATTTTCGATCTTTATATTGAACTATTATTATAAACGAACGTCAATTAAAATTAGTGTACATTCTTTCCGCCGTAATGTTTATTAATCTCTTTCCGCCGTAATTAAAAAGTAATGATTCTTCTTCGGATATATTCTTCTCCATTAAAGATCGATATTAAATCCTTGCTTCCACAATTGTTGGTGACTTGGTGTATCAATTGTGGGTGTAAAACTGTAAATTACATTCCGCTTTTGAAATTTAAGGTCTAGAACATTTACTTTTACAAAAACTACTACGTAAAACGTCGCATCCAAACTAAAATTCGAGACAGATTTAAGTTTCTTTCTTTATAACCACGAAGAGGTCTATTTAGACCATCTCCAATGTATTTCCCTTTTTAGCTCTATCTCTATAATAGAGGTAGGTTTTCTCTATTTTTACTCCAATGTGTTCCTCTATTTTTTCCTCTAAAAAGTTTAACTCTATTTATAGAGGAAAAAATAGAGATTCTCTATTCTCACCTCTATATATAGAGAAAAAAATAGAGATCTCTATTTTAGAGGTGAGAATAGAGGTGGGTTGGAGCAAATTTGCCTCTAAAATAGAGTTTAGAGGCAAATATAGAGGTGGGTTGGAGATGCTCTTAGCGTACACTAAAGGCGAAAAAGGAATCGCAGCTGTTAATTTTTCTTTTAAAAAAGCAGCTCCTAGTCATTAACTTATGCTTAATGCCACTTAACTCTGTCATATTCTCTAATGGATTGGAGTCCACAAAGATAACGTCATCTCGAGCCGCCTGTGCCACCTAATAGATAATCGCTTGGATCTTTGCCACGTGGAGCCGGAATGTTAGTTCTGCCGCTTTTTTTTTTTGGTGGGTTACGTTGAAGTTTAGGAAAAAGCTCAAAAGTGACCGAAGAATTAGACACGTGACAGGATGTGGATGGTTTCATAGATTTATAATCAAAATGATTATATGCATGAATTTACCTGCATCGATAATGATTGCCCAAGTAGAACCTATATATATGAATACCCATATACCCACCGAGATAAGTTAGGTCGGCAGGATTTGGTTTATATTCGTGTAACGACCTGAACTATTGGACATGCCACGTTTTATAAGAAATCATCAAAACGCATATGCGTGTGGATTTTGCCGCTCTGGCTCAATCTAACGCCACAAACAGAACAGGACATGCAAATCATTCACAATGTCACATATATCAGGATCATCATCATGGTTTGATTCGTTTCTATTTGTAGTTACTAGTGATCACCCAAATCATGTTTTTTGATAGTTGCTAGTTTACCAATAGATTTCGGCTCGTGTTAATCCAAAACAATTAGCCACTAAATATTGAAGTGTTTTTTTCTTGTTCTTTTTAATCACCCAATGTGCTGCTAATTAGCACCAACCTTATAAACTAAACCAGAAATCTGGAACACTTGTATGAATATAAACCAGAAACAACAAGGTACATAGAATGGTCGAGTACTGGAACAAGACAACAACTGCTATTTCTTCATTTTCTTTGAACTCTATCAATTGCAAATAAATCCAAGCGAAGGAACCACAATATCCAGTTTCAGAGAAGGAACAGACTATGGGAGTGGGACGAGAGGGTTCTTCTACTTAACCGGGTTAAGGAGTAAACCGAACTTGGACAAAAGCAGATATGTGATATCAGATCAATCCATCCTTCCCTTCAGGATTCTCTCCTTGACCTCATTTGGTGTTCTGGATAACATCACCATGAAAAAAAGTTACTATCTTATATAATACATATCCTTGGAAGACAAGTTTACAAGAGGTATGTTCTATGAGAGGCAAGATATGACAAGAAAAAAAAGAGAAGAAGAAGATGAGGAGAACAAAACTTACACAACGTAGACATGACCTCCCCACCCACTAAGACAATCGCGGTCAACTGAAGAGAGAAGTGCTTGTGAAATTGTCTCGAACAGTTCCTCAGCTTCCTGAAAATCAAATTTTTTGAGTAGAGTTATATAATATGCTTTTCATTTTATCTCAAGTCTATTTACGATGCACTTCTTATAATGATGACCTTGAAATCCAATACTATGGCAGGGGAGTAATAGCAATACTGAAACACCTTAACCCTAAGCCAAATCAAAATATTCGAGAGAAAATTATTGGAGTTACGTCATCTATCATTGGCACTAATGCACACAATTATTCCCACCAAATCAAGATTCTATACTAGAGTACTTACATATGAACGATCCTACCAAGTTTTCAGGGGATCTTAGCAACAAGCATTCGAGTTTCCAGTGAATCGGTAAGAAAAACAAGTTTTTAAAAGGCACATACCATATCTGGTTTGTACATGGCTTCACAGGCACCATATAGTGATTCTGAAGCAGTTCCAGAGACAACAAAATCTTTAGCTAACTCCCTGCATTTAGAGAGAACAAGTGTCAAGGCATGCTCACCATTGCAACTATCAGGTTCAGTAAAATCTCAACTATTAAACTCTTATTTGAATCAGCTCAACACATGTAGAACACGTTCACTCATATGATATACATTCACTACATTAGATGACAAAAGACCATAACAATATTCCAACTAAAACCAAAAGGCCGATACTTCTAGCTCACCTAGCAGGTTTCAGGATTACACACACTGACTAACCAAATCAAATGGCATTTCATATGAAAAATGAAATCTTAATTAATAGGAGACTCAGCAAAGAAAGAAAGCGAGCATACTTGGCTCCAATCGAATCCATAGTGCAAATGAAGGGTTTGTTATCATCTCCCAATCCAGCAATCACAGGTTGGCACAAAAATGGGCCAAATCTGAAATGAAGAAGTTGGTACTTAGTAGTGGCATGTCAACATAAATCATAAGAAATCAGTTTGATTAAGAGGTAACTAGAAACTAACTACAAACGAGAGAAGAAGACAATTCACCAACCTTTTCTCATAAAGAATGGCAGATACAAGACTAGCGAAAGTTTCTGGCTTCATGTCTCTTTCTTCCCTAAGCTGATATAACTTATGACGAAATACGAGTCGCTGGTACCTTCAGTCTCAAAGCCATAAATTTTTTAACTCACCTAAAATTCTCGGGAGGAAACATATGAAAAATGGAATAGTCTTACAATGTCTGGACATCGGTGGCGAGACCGGAAAGTCCGATGAAGAGATGATCGTGGATCTTAGAGATTCTCTGAAAATCGGTAGCGATGGTTTGTAATTGTACACCAAGCCTCCGATCACTGGCTATAGCGAAGCAGTTCTTCCCTACCATAGCTACGACGGCACTTCCATTGTACTCGAGGATCTGAATCACCACAATGTCCATCGATTCATCGTTCAAATCATACTATCAGTGATTGCGCAGAACAACCAAAAGTTAGAGATTGAAAAGAATTCGGGAAGGAACACTTACCGACATCGGAAATTTAGGGTTTACTGAGTGAAGCTTTTGGGAGTTTTCCTATCGGAGAAGAAATCTGAGCGAGAGCAGAGAGCTTATTAAAGTCGAGGTCGAGGGTGGCTTGGACGAAACTCTAGACAATTTTTTTTATTTTCTTTTCTTTTCTTTTCTTATTAATGGGCCTCGATATTATTGGGCTTTCAGATGACCTTTTACATCTTTTTATCGTTTTTTCTTGCTATGCTTTACTTTTTTCTAGGAGAACTAGTTTTGCAACTAAATTCAAAGAGCTTTGAGTATCTATCTTAATTGTCTTCGTCAGAAAATGTTTTAATTTGATTCACACAACAAGTAAATAGAAGCTGGGGATGTCCTCAAACTCTACTTATTTGGTCAATGTAGGTACCTCGACCTGCTCATGGTATTAGAAGTGATGGTTCGGTCCATGGTTCACCAAGGGACTCGGTCACACGCCTGTCAACATTCGATGCAATGTTAGCTGAGTGCATTGTTGTGCATACCGGTCTTGTTTTCGCCCCAGACCATGGTACATTTGGTATCTTCGGATAACAGAAGTAATTACTCAGTGTTCGTGAACAGCGTTTTTCGGAATTCCTGCCATACAATTTTCGTATGTATGGTTTCCTCTGTCTGTGCTTTAGACCGGACCTGTCCATTGACAAAATAACACTCAAATGGAACACAAGATTTCTAGGATCTCTTAGAGCAATATGGTTCAAATGAGAGAATCAGTCATCAATTTGATTCTGAGCCTGACTTATGTGCACCCAAACACTACTAACTACAGTTTGAAAGATGCGGCTGATGTAGCACTAGAGGCACTAGCTAAGCTAAGCAAGCAAGGGCCAAAGGTTGTGTATTCATTGTAAGCCACAGATCTTTATTTTTTTTCCGGATGTGACAAAATCACAGAGACTCGACAGTTTTCAGAAGATAGGTTTGTGGAGATATAATCTCACTCTACTTGGGAGCAACGCGGGCATCGAGCCAAGCAACTATGTCGTTGATTACAGTGAAAATATTTTCGTCTGTATCACCTTCTAGAATGCAATGGTAGCCACCTGGATAGAGTTTTAGAGCCTTGTCTTGGCTGATTGCATGCTCGTGCAGGAATTTGCTCACAGTGGGATCTGTGACTTTATCAGCGTCTCCATGAAGTATCAACAGTGGCAACGAGACCTGCAACATAGAAAAGACCCAAGTTATTAGAAATACACCTGTCTATGATAAGAACTTTCCTTTATTTCTTTGGTTCTACAACTAACCTTGTCAACTTGCATCTCAATGTCTCTTGTTGCATTTAGAAGTTCAACAGCAGTTTTCAGACGTGTTTGATCATCGTAGCAAATCACATCGTACTCGCACTTTATCCACAGAGAACAAAAACATCAACGAGGAAGTTAGCAAAAATGTTTCAGAAAATGTTCCATTGAAAAACCAAGAGAAAGTACCAATTTTCTTTTACTCGGGTCCCGGAAGAAGAACTCGCTCAAGTCTCTCTTTGGAAAGAGCTTCGCTTTGGGAAATAGTGTCGACATCAAGATTAACGCCTTCAAGACTAGTGGAGGAGGTTTTACATCTTCTGAAATCTTGAGACAACTCAAGGTCAGGTATTTCAAACATGAACTAAGTAACTAACTAGATGTAAAATGTGAATACAGATACTTCCAAGCACTAAAAATCTATTTGCAGATTTGAGTAACAAATCTCCAGACCTCAATTACATGCATAGCAAATGAGGTAGTTAGAGACTTACCTTACACATTGGAGCGGCAAGGATAAGACCATCCCAAGCTTGAGGTTCTTTCAGATGAATTTTTAAGGCAACTGCTCCTCCCATTGACTGTCCGAGCAGGAACCGGGGCAAATTTCTCAATTCAGGTCTTCCTAGGAATCACACCACTTGAGAAAAACCCAAAAGCAAGATTCAACACAAAAGCAATAACAGGTAAAATTTGGATATACCTTTCATTTTGGTGAACTGGTCAATAGCATTTTCAGCTAAGTCATCAAAACTTGGGATGTGACCATGTAAACCATCTGATAGGCCAAAACCAGGATGGTCTATAGCATAAACTCCATATCCAGAACCTGCTATTTGCTTTGCTATACCTGTAACACAACCCAAAAATTTTGCCACATATAAAAGAAGAACCTTTCAACTAAATAATGTAACTAGAGATATCAAACGCGAACCATCGAAGAAGAAAGTGCATGTGCTGCCATATCCATGACAGAAACACACCGCAGCTTTGATTTCGTCACCGATTTTCGGCAACCAGCTCTTGCAGAAAATTTCTTCCCCTTTCGAATTTCTCTCATACCACTATCCTTATACACCAAAGAAAGATTTAAAAACTACTTTTGGCTCTGTATCTCATTCGAAGAGACCAAATAAACAAAATCACTGCTTACCTCCTCTGTTCTGATTCCAATCGGAGCTTTCTGTCACCAAATTAAGATGATTAGAGAGGAAATAAATTAGATATTTTTTGGTAGGTTAGACTTTGCTATAAAAGTAAGAGTCAATGCAACCTTGAACAAGCAGTGATCCAGCTGCAGCTGCAAGTCAACAAAAGCGGAACGGGCTCGTCTTCGTGCAGGAGCTTGATCTAAGTTTTGTGAAGCAATCAGATTCAGCTCGTCGCTCACTCCATCGATCGGAGATCGTTTCGCGCAAACAATCGCCGGCGCGAATCGTCGAGTGATGGTCAGAGAGCTCCTATGTCGGTATCGGTTAGGGGAGAGAGTAGAGAGAGTATCAAAACGGGAAGTTAAAGCACGATCCATGGATTCTGGAGATTCAATCCAAGAATCCCTGATTGGGGAAGAAGACGAAAAGTGTAAAAAAATTGTGCGGAAATTTTTCACGTGCAACACGTGCGATGACGACTCAGTCTTCAAGTCTTCAACTACCAGAATGATGATCGAGGTCAACCGGTTCGACTGCGACCCGAAACCAGTCAAACCCATTTATAACCGGCTAAAACCGGATTTGGATTTTGAGATATTTCCATTTTCCACCATTGTTTGACTCCAGCTTTTTGATGGGCCTCGCTATTATTGGGCTTTTACTGATGTCTGCAATTTCCATTGCATCATATAAAACCGGGTTTAAAAAAAAAACAAAAAAGGAAAATCATTAATTCGCATAAATTCGAGACGATTGTGAGATACACTGCACAGTTAGTTGTGCATCGTCCCAAACTATAAAACTCTCTAGAATCCTCAAACGTCAGTGTTTACATAAGAAATGACGACTTTTCAGTATTCGCTAGCTTTTTTCGTTCTCATGGCGGTTATCGTAGCCGGAGACGCCGCAAACGTAACCTACGACGGGAGATCGCTGATCATCGATGGCCAACATAAGATCCTTTTCTCCGGCTCAATCCATTATACTCGCAGCACTCCTCAGGTAATTCTCTCTCCGTTCTCTCCGATCCGTTTATATTTAGAAGTTTCGTAACGTCGCCGGAATATAATTCCTGCAATTTCCCGGCGAAATCGCACCGATCAGTCACGTGAATTAGCACACTAAGTCGGCGGCATGTTGCGAAGACGATATACGTGAGCCGTTAGAGTTTGGACTTTAGAGAAAGAGAGAGAGAGTGAGGATAAAATCGTCTTTATCTCGACTAGGCCGTTTTGAACTTATCGAATTTGCGAGACAAAGTACTCTTATTTATGATTTATTCTTATTCAACCCCAAATGTTCTGAAATCGTATAAAACTTCCAATTAAATCCTCTATACGATTTGGCCGTTGGCGGGATCTCTTCGTCTTCTTCTTCGTCTGCAAATAGTAATGGGAAGTCGAACTTGCAGATGTGGCCGTCATTGATAGCAAAGGCAAAATCTGGAGGAATAGATGTAATAGACACATATGTGTTCTGGAACATTCACGAGCCTCAACAAGGCCAGGTCAGTCTCTCCGTCTCTATACCCTATCCAGACGAATGTAGGTATATATATATGTTTATGCGATTGATGTCTTTTGCGAATCTGCAGTTCGATTTCACTGGACGCCGTGATATCGTGAAGTTTATCAAGGAAGTAAAAGCGCACGGCTTATATGTCTGTCTTCGGATTGGACCTTTTATCCAAGGGGAATGGTCTTATGGGTAAGCTCTTTACGTCTTTAGATCGTTGAGATTTTCCGATATGGTAAAACAATGTTTGTGGAATTTTAGGTTTTTCAATACACATTGCAGGGGTTTGCCTTTCTGGTTGCATAATGTCCAAGGGATTGTCTTTAGGACAGATAATGAGCCATTCAAGGTAATTAATTTACTGAACTCAGATGGCTTCCGTAGTTCTATGGTTTAAATAAGATTACGTATTATTTGCAGTATCACATGAAGAGATATGCACAAATGATTGTTAAGCTGATGAAATCGGAAAACTTGTATGCTTCTCAAGGAGGACCTATCATACTCTCTCAGGTTTACATTTTTTTTTTCATTTATGTTCCTTTCGAAGTTGTTTTTTCAATGATCTTAAAGTTATGTGCAAAACAGATTGAGAACGAGTATGGGATGGTAGCTAGAGCTTTTCGACAAGATGGGAAATCATATGTCAAATGGGCAGCAAAATTGGCTGTTGAGCTTGACACAGGAGTACCATGGGTTATGTGCAAGCAAGATGATGCCCCTGATCCTTTGGTTGGTTTTTATGTTTGTCCTGCAATGTGGCTCATCTGCCATTTCCACTTCTGAATCCGTTTTTTGAGTTTTCTTATTGTTTCTATGGTGCCTCAGGTTAATGCTTGCAATGGGAGGCAATGTGGAGAAACATTCAAAGGACCCAATTCACCAAACAAACCTGCAATATGGACTGAGAACTGGACGAGTTTGTATGGTCTTTATTCAAATTCACTACATTGTTGTGTACTTCCCATTCCCCAGATAGAAAAAATTAACTTTCAGCTGCTCCCTTTGTATAGTTATCAAACATATGGTGAGGAACCATTGATAAGGTCAGCTGAGGATATAGCATTTCATGTTGCTCTTTTCATCGCCAAGAATGGAAGTTTTGTTAACTACTACATGGTACTTTTTCCAGTCTCACTCTCTGTTTTTTTTTTATAAAAAAAATCCCTAATGTATAAGAGAAGCAAGAATAATGATGATCTGACACTGTATCTTATTTCAGTATCATGGAGGAACAAACTTCGGGAGAAATGCTTCACAGTTCGTAATCACCAGTTATTATGATCAGGCTCCACTTGATGAATATGGTAATGTTTCAAATCATTCACACTCAAAATCAGATGTTGATCTGAAAGTACAACGTAAATGGTTGGTGCTGCAGGATTACTTAGGCAACCAAAATGGGGACACCTTAAGGAATTACATGCTGCAGTTAAGTTGTGTGAAGAGCCTCTACTTTCAGGACTGCAAACTACAATATCATTGGGGAAGCTACAAACTGTGAGTAAATTCCAACAGTATCTTCCCCTGTTTGATTTTTCATGAAAAATGTTGTTATAGTGATCTTTATGTCTTATTTAACAGGCTTTTGTGTTTGGGAAGAAGGCGAACCTATGCGCTGCCTTACTTGTGAATCAAGACAAATGCGATTCTACTGTGCAGTTTCGTAATTCTTCATATCGTTTATCTCCAAAATCTATAAGTGTCCTGCCAGACTGCAAGAATGTAGCCTTCAACACGGCCAAGGTACTCATACATCAAGACTATCATACACACAGATTTCTTGTGATGTATTCATTTGTATTTCGTGGTGTGGATAGGTCAATGCGCAATACAACACGAGAACAAGGGAACCAAGACAAAATTTGTCTTCTCTTCACATGTGGGAGACTTTTACAGAAACTGTCCCAAGTTTCAGTGAAACGTCAATAAGATCAGAATCCTTGCTTGAGCACATGAATACAACACAGGATACTTCCGACTATCTGTGGCAAACAACTAGGTAAAGCCAATTATATCCCGTAAGATATACTGCATTAGTCAAGAAAATTAGTACATTCTCTGTTAGATATTCTTTAAGTTATAATTTTTCTTTTGCAATAAAGGTTTGAGCAATCTGAAGGAGCTCCATCAGTTCTTAAAGTCAACCATCTTGGACATGTTCTACACGCCTTTGTTAATGAGAGATTCATAGGTATGCCTTTTTACCATTGAATCCTACTCAAGGTTAAAGGTTTTTGGCATCATCAAATTTAAATGCTTCTAACTTTGTGTTCTATTTAGGTTCTATGCATGGAACTTTCAAAGCGCATAGCTTTTTGCTAGAGAAAAATATGTCACTGAATAATGGCACAAATAACATGGCATTACTCAGCGTAATGGTAGGGTTACCGGTGAGCCCCAGTCTTTTCTTCTGAACTTCTTCAATATTTGCTCCAAATAGAGTACTTCTACATCAGTATCTGTAGCAAATATCAAAACACCATCTGGAGTACATTTTTGCTGACGGCGTCTCTCTTTGGAACACAGAACTCAGGAGCACATCTAGAAAGGAGAGTCATTGGATCACGGAGCGTAAAGATTTGGAATGGAAGATATCAACTGTACTTCAACAACTATAGTTGGGGATATCAGGTAAAACCTATGAATTTTATTCTTCAACAGAACTTATCTCCTTCAAGTTAACTGATGCTATCAAAATCGTTGTGGAGGTTGGACTGAAAGGGGAGAAATACCATGTTTACACTGAAGATGGGGCCGCAAAAGTTCAGTGGAAGCATTACAGAGACTCCAAAAGTCAGCCTCTAACTTGGTACAAGGTAGAACAACAAAATAGTAAAATAGTACTAGTTCAATATATTACTCAAAACTTCCAATCTCTGAGGTATTTTATATCTACAGGCCTCATTTGAAACACCAGAGGGGGAAGATCCGGTGGCCTTGAACTTAGGATCAATGGGAAAAGGAGAAGCTTGGGTGAATGGCCAGAGTATTGGTCGGTACTGGGTCTCATTTCATACTTCCAAGGGGAACCCTTCTCAGATATGGTATGATATTGTTCACTCTCCTTTTTGAATAATCTTGGTATATTAGTTGGATGTAATTTTTTGAAGCTATGTTCTCGTATTTTTAGGTACCATATACCGCGATCTTTTCTTAAACCCAACAGTAACTTACTAGTCATTTTGGAAGAAGAAAGAGAAGGGAATCCTCTTGGTATAACTATAGACACAGTGTCAGTCACTGAAGTCTGTGGTCATGTCTCCAATACATATCCTCATCCTGTGATATCTCCGAGAAAGAAAGGCCTCAACCGAAATGAACAGAAACATCTAACATACCGGTATGATAGGAGGCCTAAGGTTCAGCTCCAGTGTCCTACTGGCAGGAAAATTTCAAAGGTATTGTTTGCAAGCTTTGGCACTCCAAATGGAAGTTGCGGGAGCTATTCTATAGGAAGCTGTCACTCACCCAACTCTTTAGCTGTTGTACAGAAGGTAAGCTACTTTTGTCCCTGTAAATTTGACCTGTTCTCTGAAATCGTTAAAGCCCAAACAAGAGGTTCTTTTGAATTTGTGCAGGCCTGTCTGAGAAAAAGTAGGTGTTCTGTACCAGTATGGAGCAAAACATTTGGCGGTGATTCATGTCCACACACTGTTAAATCTCTGCTTGTTCGTGCACAATGCTCATGAGAGTCCAATTCGTTAGTATAGATTTCTGTTCCCTTTTTCTTTATCTTCCTTATTATGTACAAATAATAAAAGTATTAGTGAAATTTTACAAAAGCACAATACAAGGTTTGAATTCCACAGAAAATATCCGGGAAACATCTGAATAGCTCTCAAATTGGTGCAGCTGCCGACAATCACTCTCCATAGGTTAGATCTTCCGGTGGCTCCGGCTTAAACTAAGTCGATAATTAGCGTTTCAATCAAACTATCTAATGCATCATGAAAGCCATGCAAATTTGAGCATGAATTATACCATCATCTGTCAGATTTCTTCCATTGCAGAATTTTGATTCATGTCAATCTCGTGAAAATCCGATTTTTGGACAACCTCCTTTCGAGCCATGACCGGTTTGATCTTCATGACTCTTCTATATCTCTGTTGTATTCCTTCCCTCATTCTCTTATGCAGCTCTTCATCAAGTGTACCCGCCATTCCTTCTGAGCTCAGAGCATCCCACACCAACTTATAAGTATACTCTCTCGGAACCAACCCAGCCTCTACCATCTCCACCAGCAAATCCCGAGCCTCAGCCGCTCTCCTGGTCTCAACAAGAGCGTGTATCAGCGGTGTGTACGTGCTTGAACCAGGTACACCATGACCCATCTTCTTCATTGTCCTCATCATCTCGATTGCACCTTCTATCTCATTGGTAACACTATAATACCTTATGAAAGAATTATAAGTCACCTGGTTCGGTACACACCCTTTTGTCTTCATATCTTCAAACAGCTCGAGAGCCCGACCAATCCGATTCGTTTTGCAACATCCATCGATCAAGCAATTATAAGTCACCACATCGGGTGCAAACCCTCTGAACAGCATTTCCCTAAACATTCGATTAGCCTCCCACATTCTCCTCCTTATCGCCTTTCTGCATCCGGTTTGCATCCCATATCTACAGTACGAGCTAATTAAAATGGTGTAAGTATAGGTATCCGGTGGGTATCGAAAACCGGGTAATTGCATCTGATCCAACAGAAATCTCGCTTTTTTGAAATTCCCCACTCGGCAGAGAGCATTGATAATTGTATTGTAAGCATAAACATCAGGTTTGCAGTGATATTCCTTCATCCTATAAAAGGTTGCTAATGCCTCTTTCACAAAACCTTCTTCTCCTAGGCATTTAATCAAACACGTTATAGACGCTGTTGTGACCACATTTATGCCGTTCTCCCTTCTAGATACTTGCCGGAGAAAATCCCAGAGACCCTTAAAGTCATTGCCTTTGGCCAATAGACAAGCCATATCTCTGCAAGTGATCTCATTATGACCAAATCCGAAATGGGTCTCGATCCAAAAGAAGAACTCCAATGCTTTCTGCAACCCGAGAGAGACTTTCTTGGGATCCATATACGCACCGGGACCTAGAACTAGGACTTCAGAACGACGTCGTTGTGATTCATCACTGAGGTTTCTCTGCTTTAATGGTGACCGGTGACGAAAACCCTTTTGCCGACCAATGGATCGTGGGGAAATGAAGAAGAATCTGGGGATAGAGCGGAGGACATCGGAGACGAGCTGCTGAGTCCATGGATTCACGACCGTTGAAGAAGCGAGAACGGCGTCGAATGGACGGTTCTGGATCATGGCGGCAATAAGCTGATCAATAATGCGGTTACATAGCGGTTGCGACGGTTTCATGGTGTCCTACTTGACTACTTTGAGTTTCAGTACAAAGCTTTAACACCAACTCAAGATCGGTTTTTTAAGTTTTGCTCAGAAAATCACCAAACTTCTTTCTAAATTTCCATTTAGCCCTATACTTTTAAATTGACTGATTCGGCCATTAACTATAATTCGAAAATGAAATATTTGATTAGATAGATAGTAGTTTTGTATTTTATTTTGGGACCCTTTTTTCCATAGTTTAAGAAGTTATGTCGCAGAAAGTGTTTACGTTCTAGTGTGATTTTTGAATTCCTTCACTTGTAAGAAAATTTAATTTAACTTTTCATATCTTACAATCTTTCTTCCCTCCCTTCGCACTCAAAACTTCAAAATGGTGGATTGTCTTTAGACATCCACATTCCACAAATTATATTACAAAGATGTGAAAACTCTAAGGACATTAATATAGGACCCTAAACTTTTGAAAAATCCCATTTTAGCCCAACATTTGTTTTTAATTTGATTTGACCGATTCAAGAAGCTGATCGGATGGCTAAAGAACCAATCGCGAGCCATTTCATTGAAAATGTGGTCAAAAGAGTCCAAACCCAACCCATTCAGCTTCGTTGGCGATTCGTGGCGAGAAGCGGAGGGAAGAGAACGACGACTTGGGTGATTCCCATCTCGGAGAAACCGATCTCCGGCTTGAAACAGTCCACGGCGACATCGTCTCCATGTCGGAGCAGTAATAATCATTCTCCGATCTCGACCCGGTTTTCCTCCGACTACCACCGCTCTTATTCTTCCTCAACCTAAACCTAGGCGACGGGAAACACCCGAACCCGGCAACAGAAAAATCGGAACTTGGTTCGGGTTCGGATCCGGGTAGAATCCGGTTAGGGCGGTGGAGCTGCCACCGTTCCGAGAACGCACGCGGCGAGGATCGGAAAGAAGGACCCGGAGAGTAGAATCCAGCAAACGACGACGGTGTTGGTGGCGGCTTGAGCTTCGATGGGGTTGTAGAAAAGGAATGGGGAGTGAGAGGAGATAAAGGACGGCTTTTGGAGTTGGAGATGAAAGAAGAAGACGGCGGAGATAAAGCCGGCGGGAGAAGCGGCTGAGAGTGAGACAAAGGTTTTAACCGGAGAGGAGAGAGTTTCTTTGGAGGCTGAAGAGGAGTTGTGTTACCGGGTTGAGACATTCGGGTTTTGGGTACACCCGGTCGGATCTCCCAGCTAAAAGGTATCGTTCCAGGTCTCTTGAATGAATCATCAAGTTCGACAATGGCCATTTGATGTTTTATTTTGCTCTCAAGAAGAGACAAGAAACAAAAAAAACAGAGATAGATAGATAGAAGAGAGATGACTTTAGAAGAGTTGGATTAAGAATGAGTTTAATGTCTTATATATGACGAGAGAGGAGAGAGAGGAGAAAGAGAGATGAGAGGCGAGATTAGAGGAAGATAGGAGTGGGTGGCGGGAGAGATTAGACAAGTTTATCTCTATGTAATTTGACTTGGTTTCTATTGGTCCCTACCATTTTACTTAACTTTTCAATTATGCAATGGTCACCACAATTATATAAACCCACACACAAAGATCTTTACTTTATTAGTTTTTTCTCTTGAAAAAATTAAGACCATGAGACTATTTGTAGTAATAGATGGACAAAATCAAAGGGCTAAGATTTCAAATATCAAGTGCTCAAAAACAGAGTTACAGCACGCGGTGTTTCATGATTTAGACGTGAAAGCAAATACTAAACCAAACGAATTTGGGGTAAAAAAATTCAAACTTTGAAATGATCAAATGACCTTTTCCCTACATGGACTCAAAAGGGCTAACCACTTAAACTTTTTTCTCGTCTTGCAAAAGATTCTAAAACTGTAAATAGCAATTAGGCATGATGACAATAATGATACGTGTCACATAAGAGGAAACCAAACTTCAAAAGACCAAACCATGTCAGTTAAATGATTCTACTGGAATTGCGGAAACACTACAAATGTATTCCTTGCTACATCCAGTAGCTACAGATACCTTAATTGTTACAGTCTGATATAATGTTAAAACTTTATAACAAAATTAATTGTTTACAAACCTAATCTAATAACTAGCTCTCTTGTGAGACGGATATGATGGAGTTTTTGATCTTGTTACAAAGGATATGAAATACAACCAAAATAAAATTCAAGAAGAGATGGAGTTGGAAGCGGTTCCTTAAGGGAAGGAGATAAATCGATTGTTAAATGTGCGATCAATGGCTCCTTTGATGGCTGCGGAAGAGGTGGTAGTAGTTGAGAAGATTCTTACAAGTTATTGTTGATCCAAACAACTGAGAAGCACTCTGCAATACTCAAAAGAGATTGAATCAAATTTCCACAAGTGCAGTGTTCAGGGACGGTCCAACAATAAGACTTCAGATAGTTTTTACCTGGAGGTATGTGATAGCTCGACGAAGATCATCACCTTGTGATTGATATGAAGCTCAATGCTGAAAGAGATTGTTATGTACAAAAATATGAAGATATAACATCGCTTGCAATGCATTCAGCTCCAACACCCTACATTTGTTGAGCTGAGGTCATCATAAACCTCCTGTTAGTGTTAACTCACGGGTAAAACCACAAACTTTGAGTGAGAATAACAACAAAACGAAATGAGAAATGAACCTCCATCAATTTAAGAAACAAAATGTAATTCATCTGTCAGAATGATGGAAACAAGGGCATAAATCTAAATGAATGTCAATGAAATTGATTCTGACTTCACATATGTTTCCTGCTCTTGTTTAAACCCTCTAAGGCACAGAGAAGGTTTGACAATGCCTATGTAAGTCAGAGGGAAAAGTTTCGCGCTCAACTATAATGGACCCACTGATGATCAAATACGCGTAAATCGTAACGGTTTTTGAGTTTAATCGACGGCCAAGATTGATCCGTTATTTTTTATTAAATAAAAAATAGAAAAACCCCAAATCAAAAAAAATAAAAATAATTCCGCGTTTATCATATTCCGTTGTTTCTCGTCTCCTTCAAGATCTCTCTCACACTCTCGCAGAAGAGAAACCCTAAATCTCACCGGAAAACTAGAACGCCGAGCCGGAGGTTTTCCATTTCTTCGTCAACAATGTCTTCTTCGTCTTCATCGAGAAATCTATCTCAGGAGAATCCGATTCCTCGTCCGAACTTAGCCAAGACTCGAACCTCACTCCGCGATGTTGGAAACCGTCGTGTTCCCCTTGGCGACATCACAAATCAGAAAACTGGATCTAGAAATTCTTCATTATCGTCTACTCTGGTATATTTTCTTTGATTCTCTCTAATTGTTGTTCCTTTTCAATTCCGGTGTTTGTTCGTCGAGAATTGTAGTTTTAGGGTTTATCCTGGAATTGAATCTGTAAATGTTTCATCTCTGAAGGTTCATTGTTCAAATAAGATCGCCCAATCGAAGAAAGCACCAAAGCCTGCTTTATCTCGTAATTGGAATTTGGGAATTCTCGATTGCGGTTTACCTCCCAAGTCAAATGCGAATTCAAACATAATCGTTCCTTACGAAGACACCGAATTGCCTCAAATCGATGATAGTCTTCTATCTTCATCACCTGGATTATCTGTTGATGTCTCTCCTACTCACTCAGACCCGTCAATTTCCACTCATGACTCTTTCAAGAGCCACATTGTAGAACACATGGTCGAGAGCAGTACTGATGATGGAAATGATGATGACGAGATTGTTAACATTGATAGTGACTTGATGGATCCACAGCTTTGTGCTTCCTTTGCTTGTGATATCTACGAGCATTTGCGTGCATCTGAGGTAGAATTGCTGTAGTTTTACCCTGCCACATTTCTCATACTAACTTGATTCTGTTTCTGAATTGTCTAAGTTGAAAATTTGCTTATTCTTCTCTGCAGGTAAAGAAAAGACCGGCTCTAGATTACATGGAAAGAATTCAGTTAAACATCAATGCTAGTATGCGTTCTATACTGATTGACTGGCTTGTGGAGGTAAGCTTTTGATGAATCCTGGTTGATTAAGGCAAAGATATTTAGTTTAGATTGATAAGGCATTAAGTTCAGTAATAGACAAAACGTTTTATAGCATTTTCATTGGTAGGTGATATATAGTTTACAAAGCTGTTCTCTGGAATTTCATAAAACTACAGGTTGCTGAAGAGTATAGGCTTTCGTCTGAGACGTTGTATTTGGCAGTGAACTATGTAGATCGGTATCTTACGGGCAATGCAATTAACAAGCAAAATCTGCAGTTACTTGGTGTAGCCTGCATGATGATAGCAGCGTAAGAAATCTAGAAATTTTACTCTTTGGTTTCATCCCTTTTCTTCTTCAGAAGTATGCAATTTCTAACCAGTAGACATACTGGAATTCCAGAAAATATGAAGAAGTGTGCGTGCCTCAAGTGGAGGATTTCTGTTACATCACTGATAACACATACTTAAGAAACGAGGTTTGTGTGTTTGGTCTTCCCTAGACAAACTCTTTCTTGTGGTTTTAATATGCTCGTAAGAAGTTGTTAACCTTTAAGCTTTCTGACAGCTTTTGGAGATGGAGTCTTCTGTTCTGAACTACTTGAAGTTCGAATTAACAACTCCAACAGCAAAATGTTTCTTGAGGTAGCTTCTGGTCATATTGATGTTGACTTCAATCATCTTTTTTGTGGTTCCCTGCTGATCTAGACTTGTAAAAATTGTGGTTAGGCGCTTTCTTCGTGCTGCTCAAGGCAGAAAGGAGGTATACTCTTACATTAAAATTAAAGATGAGCTCTCTACGCAATGGGTGATGTATTATATATGTGTCTGACCGGTTGCTGCTTTCTATTAGGTACCATCACTGTTGTCTGAGTGTCTGGCCTGCTATCTCACCGAATTATCGCTGTTAGATTATGCTATGCTTCGATACACTCCATCACTTGTTGCAGCCTCTGCAGTTTTCTTGGCACAATACATTCTACACCCGTCAAGAAAACCATGGGTATGACCACAAAACTGTATCTGCATTCCTATTTTCTCCACTACTTAGCTTTATTCAACTCTGCGTTTTATTTTGATTTCGGGTTTTGCAGAATGCTACGCTTGAGCATTACACATCGTACAGGGCTAAACATATGGAAGCATGCGTTAAGAATCTTCTTCAGCTGTGTAATGAGAAACCCTCATCTGACGTGGTTGCAATCAGAAAGAAGTACAGTCAACACAAAGTAACAAGCACTCCATTTTCTTTCTTATTAATAGGTTTCATATAAAATATTTGCTTGCAAGTGTTTACTCTCTTTTTCTTCTCCTGGCAGTACAAGTTTGCAGCAAAGAAGCTTTGCCCCACATCACTACCGCAAGAGCTCTTCCTCTGCTAGTGTTTCTCGATACACTTTTTCTTTTCCCTCTTTTCTTGTAGATATTGTTGATAAAAACTCATCAATCGGGTCAGGCAAATGTATTCAGTTCGATAGAGATGTGTAGATGAAAATACCACTTACCAATACAAAGGATTGTTTCGTTACATGTATATATGTGAACAGAGTTCTGAGCTATGGATTTTGTTGTGGTGGTTCAACCGCCTTTGGATAAAAGGCGGTTGAAGTGCAGACCAACCACCTCAAACGCCTTAGCAAGATGATCAAAGATTTGGAACAACCTTAGTTAATTGTTTTTTTCTTAACTGACTATAGAATATTAATTAAACTTGTAGCTAGTTTCTCAACTAGGATGAATTAAAACTGATTAGACATGTGAGAGATTATGCTGATGGGACATGCTTGTTGGTTCTCGGGGACGGAGAACAAGGTGGAGTCTCTGGAGCTTTGGTTTCCAAAATCTATGAAGATGATTGATTCTATCTGCTTCGTTGATTTCGGTTTTTGGGTTAAGCTCATATACAGTAATGAAGTTTGAACGACAAAGATTTAATGGTTTTGCAAATGTTGGAAAAGTTAGCAACCACAATGTTCCTATGGCTGCCAACATCTCTGTCTTGTTCATTTTATTACTAAACATTTCGTTTCTAAACATTTGTAATGTTTACTAAACATTTCGTTTCTCAAATTTGTAATGAACATAAAACATATAAAACAAAAAAAAAGACCCACCCAAACCGCCTCGGAATGATAGATTGACCATCAACAAGACCATCTGTTTTATTCAACTGTAAAATGCTATTACAGAGCTTGTTGGTTTCTAGTTGACAGTATAAAAAATAGTGGTTCAATATTGATCAATTAGATCTGATGAGACAAAATTGTTGGTATCTAGCAACGAAGCAGGAGATTGTGAAGGTGCTATTCGATTATGACCCCTGGATGGACTAGAAGACGGACGCGGAGACTTAGACTTTGGCAAGGTTCCAAACGCTATTGATGAGACCGA